AGTTGCTGATACGATACATACCTCGATCAGTAGGCTATGACACAATATGTATCTCGATACAGTGAGCTTTAGTTTTCAATACAATTCGATACAATATATTTCAAATCAAGGCTAAATCATGGTTGTGATACTAAAAGTCTTTGTTAAACCGCTTATTGTGCAAAGTTCATATGAAACACACCCATTTTACTCATCAAAACATTGAAAATGCCAAATGTGTTGCATAAAAGAGTTTCCTTCCTCTGAATAAGCAACAAAACTGCAGCACTGTAACAAAATAATTTTGTAAAATATACAAAAAAATACTGTATCATCACATCAAACCATAGGATATATCGATTTCAATATTTTTGCACAACATCTTTTAATTTTTAATCAATAATTTCCAGTTATCAGCAATACTTTATTTTAACATCTTGAATTTACATCCCAGCTCTATGGTTTTTTGTTACTGTTACACATCCAAACAGTCACTGCAGCACTTCAAATCTCTACTTAAAATGCACCTTTTCTTACTGGCATTAGAGAGAGAGTATTTTCACTGTTTTAATTATTTCTTCTTCTTTTTTAATACTATTGCTGGATTAATATTGTTGTTACTTTGATAAGCTGTGTTTGTTTTAAATCTACTTTATAAATAAACTTGATTTGATTTCAGTGTAGTGTATTATTGTAGCCTTTGTTATTTTTGAACATTTCGCAATTTAAGTCAGTGTGCCTGTTATTATTCCCCCATTGCCAACTCCTGAAACAGGCACTCTATCTTTGGAACTACAAAGCTGCAGATAGGATCAGCCTCTGCACATAGGTCTGGTGTTTTTCATCAGAACAACATGCTCCATTCTTTATTCAGTGGTGGTTATACAAAGTTGCGGCTGCCCCAGGACAGAAAGACAGAGATGTGGGTTTTATTCTGCACCATGGGACTCTTTAACCAAGAAGAGAAGTGTGGTTTTTACAATAATGTAAACTGGCTTACTCATTTTGCAAGGGTATACAAAAGCAACATAATATTTTTGTGATTGTTACAAATGTTTTGGGTCAGAGGAAGTTGGATTTTCATGTATGCACTTCCTTTGCTCTTCCTCCTTCTCTCTGAAAATGGTTAAAAATAAACTTTTGCTACAGACAAAGCAACATGCAAAGTGGGAGTGGGGCACACATCATTACATACTGACCACTCTGTCCAACATTCTTCTTAAGTCTGTGTTTGATAGAACAAATCTTATCATGTATTTTCTAAAGCTAGTGGGTGATTAGTCTTATTTTCCCACAGCCAACTCCAGAAATAGACTCTTGGAAAACGCCATTTTCTGCTATTTTTACATGTTCTATGTCCCTGGGGTTGTGTAAACAGCCCCCAACAAGTTATTTAAGCAACAACAGTCATTTTCGAACCGCCCACAGCAGCTTTCCCAGCATGTCTGCAGCCGTGCACTAGGAAACAGTCACTACAGCTGCACCTTGTATCCATCAGAATCGGAGTAGTTCACACTGTCATCAGAGTGACATGGTCATCCTGACACCGCCAGAATGTAGATCTGTGGGGCGTTCCAGCTGGTTATCAGGGACTCTTGACATAATCCATGCACACATTCACTCCCTTTTATCAGTTAGAATGGATGGCTAATGTCAATTTGAGACCAAATTGTGTATTATTATACATTTTTCAATAATAATATTTTAAGTGGACTTTAAGTCGAAGATATATTGTGCTTGTGCCTGCTATATGGTTATAATATGTGACAATGATCATTATGTTATCATTCTGACTTTTTAAATTTTAATAAAAGTAACAAGTCCGTTGACTGAGGTGTTGCACAAGGTAGTGTGTAGTATATATTTTTTCATTTGTACCAAAATGACTATGCAGTGCTGCCAGATCCTTGTATCACTGATTAAGAAAATAAAACTGGAGAACAAAATAAGCACAGATCAACGGGTGTGTCCCAGTAAAAAAAAAAAAAAAAAAAAAGCTATTAAAGATTGCTCAAACATGGACAAATCATTTCAGATAAAACTATGGGTGAGTAAATGGTGCGAGGAAACAAATATAATATAGTTTAAAGCTCTGAAAAGTTGATTTTTTTTTCATTTCAGGACAACAGAAGCAATGTGGGTGAAGTGTCTTGCTCAAGGACACAACAGTATGCACAGTCAGTGTCGCTCCTGGTAATAACACCTGGCATTCCAAACTGTCTAACATACAAGTACTTACCAGGTCCACATGTTTGGTCAGTTGTTGTGAGTCTGTTGCATTAGCATTTAACTTGTGATTATCAGGATTAATTTGACAAATTTAACAAATCATAATCATTCAAAAACTATTTACATTTAATATTACATCCACTATTTTGATTACAAAACCAAACATACTCTTAGATGTCCTGCAGAGAATACCCCACTGTGCAAACTAATAACTTTACCCTCTAACTACAACCCCTACGACCCAGCGTATTATTTACATACAGTATGAAGCGCAGGAGTGTCAGCTATCCTCCAGCGAGCCTGAAATAAGTGTGGAGCTTTTTCAGGTATCAGGCTGGAGGGCAGGGGGGCTCGTTGTGTTGGGACTAAAGTAGCAGCCAAAACACCTATTAATACACTGATAGCTTCTTGGCGAGAGCATGCTCTTAGATGTTGGGTTGGGAGGGAGGGGAGCCATTCAAAGGTATTTAAGTGAAGAGCTTTGACATGGTGGTTCATTACAACTTGGCAGGGTGTATTCCTGAAGACGTGTAAAACAAATGGTATCACGGTTACAGAAAAAAAATCTCCAACCAAACTGAACTAGAACATTTTGGACTTGACTGAGGCATAAAGGGTAAGTCAGATGTTAGCTACAAAGACACAAAGCGTTGGTAAATCTCTGCAGACTGGAGAGGAGATTAGAGTCCGAACAGTAAGTAAAAAGGTCTTTCATTGGAGTTAGTCATTTACTGGCTGAATAGGTGACAAGATTTTGTTCAGTAGGTAAAATATGTGTAGCACTCTGAGTTTTACACATTATCAGTCTTGAACAAATCTATTTTGCTGCAAAAAGTAAAAAAATATGCATCACTACCATTAAAATATTAACTCTTACTCTCTATTCTTGAAACAAAAGTATAACAACAATACACCAATGTCTGTTTAATGACAAATTAAACCAATTACAGTACTATTTTTTTCACTCCAGTGTCATGTGTCATGCTGCAGTGTTTCTGAAGGGCAGTCATTTGTAAGTGTAGGAAAATGATCATGACATATGCAAATGCAAAGAGGCTTACTGAGAAAGGAAAATACCTTATACCTCAGGATGTGTACAGTGTGGTTTAAGGTCTTTGAATGGTCAGTAGAGGTAGAGGTATAGAGGTAACAGAGCAGTAAAACATTTTTAATTATTGGTAGTCCTACTAACGCATATCACAGTGACAATCGTGAAATAATTTAAACAATCTTTTATCCAAAATTGACTCCAGAGAGCATGTTACAATGCTGTCAAAAACATACCTGGAGTTGGGTTTTGTTTGTGTGAGCAATCCTTTAGCTGTCTGTCTACATCTCCAAAGCTCAGAATTCTTTGTTCCACCTTGTGATGCCATGAAGCGGTAGTTTTCAAGTTAACATCTTCTTTTATCTTTTGTTCAGTAGAGATTAGCAATTCAAGATCTGAAATTATCCAAATGATTCTAGTGGAACACAGTGGAGCACTTCCCGTATTGCCACATGGCATCTCAAGGTGGAACAGAGTGTTTTAATTTGAGAGAAGAACTCACCCTTGATACGCAGGGTTTTTGTGTTAAACATGAGTGATAAGACAAAACACTTCTCTGGGCACATTTTTGATGAGGAAACAACATTATGACACATAACATAATACGGGCCTTTTAAAATCGGCGTATAATACTGCTCCAACACAACTGTTATAACTTCCACGGTGGTAATTTGCCTACTCCTGACCAAGAGTCTGGTTGAAATTCAAAATAAGCTATACGGGAGGCATAACATTACAATACATATGGCTACTATAGTCAGTAGTAGGTTCAGATATCCAACCTACAAAGTACTAATCAATGGTACTCATCAGTGATTTCCAGGTATATTTACTGATTCATATTAAATAGTAAACAGTCTTGAATCTTCACTGTTACTACACTCAGTTGACTGCCTTCTCATCACCATATTTTAATGCACATTTTGTATGGGTGAAAGGCAGTTGGTGATAATAAGTGTTCCTCTTTTCCTGTGTCACTTTGTCACAAGCTGATTTCTACCTAATTAAATCTCTGCTAATGAGGAAAGGCTGCTACTTCCAGTAAACAATGAATGCAGCGTTTGATGACTTATGAGAGATTGTCTAATGTTTCTACTGCTCAACAGCACCTATTTGTCACAGCGTAATAGGTAGCCTAGCCCTGCTGATTTCTAATTAACTGGTTGTATTGTATTGTTACACTACTGTGTTATGTCTCTTTGTAACTGTTTTGTATTTTGTATTGGATTCTATGTATTGTATTGGATTGGATTCTATGTCATTTGCCTAGGGACAACAGATGGAAACTAGCTTTTTTTTCAGGCATATTTAAACTGTAGCTACATTAATTAATAAGCACTGTACCTATCAAATAAACAAATAAAAATAAAGTGTCTGGCTATAGAGTGTTCATGCTGTGACTTTCACATCAGGATTCATTCAACTTTAAAAAGAAATAGATAAAGGGCTCTTGTCTTTAATTTGATAATGCAGTGATCCAAGTAAACCTGTTTTTATATATCACACAGGCATATCCTACATTAAAATAGAATTAAGGTATTTAAAAATTCTAAAACATCAAATGGCAATAAAGGGCAATAAAGCATAATAAACAATTCTTTGAAAATATGCCTACATTAAATTCAAGTTTGGGCCTCGTTTCACTTTTTAGATGTTTGTAGTCCAGAGATTCATTCTAAATAACACACAAGTTCAGTTCATAATAATCAAGACGGAGATTAGTTGAAAATACATGGTTTCTTACCTTGTATTCAGAAGTAAGTAATCAAAACGTATTTTTCTGTAAAAAGCTCCACGCTTGCATGATCCGTGAACTGTCTCATGCTGTCCCACTGTCAACACTGCCCTGTGCTCAGATGCGGAGATAAGAACTCTGCCCGTGAAGTCACAAGTGCTGAAGTAATACAGCAAAAACGCTCCTACAAAATAAAATAAGGAAGTGAGCTCTCTATGTTCTACTTCTTGATTTGAACATCATACACATACTTAGGCTGAGTTACCCCAAAACATGCACAATATTATATGCAATCCTCCAGCTCCTGATCAAGTCGAGGTGGATCTGGACATGGATCAGAGAGGTTGCGCTCGTGTCATTGGGAGGGGTTACCTCGAAAGAACAAATGAGATGACATCAGATGATAAATGGATAGTATATGAAAAGCTGTATCTGTTTTGTTTAAAATGTGACTCAGCTTCTGCAGCCTCAATTTGGAGCAATGGCGTCCCCTCCTGGGCTTAAACAGTAGCCATCGGCAGAGTGGAGTAAAAAGGTTTTTAAGAGAGTTGTGTTTTCCTTGGTTGTCGAATAAATGTCAGCCATATCAGCCACATTTTGAGCCAATTAAATCAGTGCTGATTTTTTTTAAAACCCCAAAATAGGCTGACCAGACGTCTCTATTGACCTGGGACAGTCCCAGTTTTGAGCCCTATATCCCCTGCCCCAGCAGATATATCCAAAACCATTGATTTGTCCCAGTTTTATGCAAGAAATGTCCTTGGTGTTCCTATTTTTGACCAATATACCAACGGTAAAGAGAGGCATAAACTGCCATTTGTTTAGGCAAAATATAGAAAAGCTGCTTAAAAATGAGAAAAACACAAAGAAAATGTGACTATACTGACTCACATTAGTGCCGAATGCAGAACAATTCTCCTTAATTACGCATCTCAAGCAATGCAAATATATCCATAAATTCAAGTTGTTATATAAACATATGGTCTGGTCACAGTATATAGAGAGTTGGTCTTAATATTAGAACAATACTTCCTTCTGTAGTGCTGGTTTATGCTTGTTGTTTCCTTGCCATTACTAGCATCTGCTGACGATGATAGTTATATTACCAAACTGTAACAGTGACTCTTTGTCCTCACTTGTAAATAGTTCATATAGGGTAATGAAAAATGTCTGAAGAATGCGAAAGAAAGCTCATTATGTTAAATTAGAAGAGTGGGGGTGGGATTAAATAAGTGTTCTTCTTCCAACTCCATTTTGGGCAAATTTTGTTGTTGTTATTTCTTTTACTTCACTAATATTATGTTATATGGATAATACGCTGTTCCAGTGTAAAAAATGTAAATTTCTTACTTGCGTAAATTAATACATAAACAAAAGAGTCAAACAAAGGGCCGGGAGCTGTACAATGTCCAGGTCTGATGTAGAATGATATTACATTTTGCAGAGGATTAGTGGAGCGGCAGAAGCGCTGTTTCTATCTGAGATTTGCCCTTTACGCTGGTTGCATGGACATGCGGGGCTGGTCCGTCATTGGTCAGCCTCGTGTCCTCGTTGGACCAATCACGCGCCCGAGGGGAGTAGCACGCGCCCCACCTTGTTTCGATCACGTGACCTGCGCTCGGGGAAGATGGTGGAAGTTTGTTCTTCCTCGATCCGAAGCCCCGACAGAAGCCCGCACATCCCGTAGACACAGGGCTGGGAGTGTAGCGCAGCCTGAACAGCTTCTCTTCAGACCCGGGTAAGAAGTCGAATCCCACGGTCAGATCTTTATTCGTTCACGATCCGCCGCTGGACTTTGGGGGTTCCTGCCAGCCATGATGATGACACTAGCTAACAGGCTAACAGTTAGCCGCAGTGCTCTGGCAAAGCTGTCAACACAGCACAGACATTCAACACGTACTAACTCTGCAACTTCCCCAGCCAGGCCTCTCCTCAAACTACACGCTTTGACTTATTCAGATGTGGTTTATTCAAATTTTCTATTGTGACCCGCTGACTGCTCCTGTTTGGATTTTAATTATGTAATCTTACACTCTGTGTGTTAGCTTAGGGTGACCAGGATTTCAAAATAAAAACTGGGACATCCCCGGTTTTTTGGTGGTTGGTAATAATACAATTGTTATACAGAGACCATTCAGGACTAACATGCGAGTCAATATAGTCACGTTTTCTTTATGTTTAAGCAGATTTTTTGTATATTTTCTAGCTAAATTACAATTATGCCTCTCTTCAGTGTTGGCAGGTATCAAATTGGTCAAAAATAGGGACACCAGATACATTTCTTATATAAAACTGGGACAAATCAATGGTTTTGAATAAATCCACTGGGACAGGGGGACACAGGGCTCAAAACTGGGGCTGTTCCAGGTAAATAGGGATGTCTGGTCACCCTATATTAGCTTAGCATTTCCAGAAAGGTACTGTAGTAAGCTGTTGATGTTTCGCGATAATAGACATACTTTGCATAGTTGAATGTGCCTCTGTTTTAAAGATTGTTAACAAATGAAAATGTTCTGTGTATGTTCAATCTTTCGGTACATCATCTTGCCACATTCCAATGCCATTCGTAGTATTAACAGGTGACAGGTAGTTGCTGTAATAAATAATATCAGTAAAGGCAGTCACTGGTAATCGGCCTACATTCCTACATTGTTTTTGTACTTTTAAAAAACTGTTTGGTATTTCTGTTTTATAGTACAGTCAGTGTGTTACCAGAGATACAAAATAAGAACAATGGCAGTGTAAACCAAAGTGTATAGATTCCCTGGGTAATGGCTACACCTTTAAAGTTCTTCTTCACTTCTCTATTCAGATCATGTTTGGGTCATTTTTGGTTGTTTAATATGCACTAAAGACCGTCATCCTAAACAGAGGGTTTGCCCATGTGAGTCTGCAGAGTCAGCTCTTGTTATGAATAATTGACAGAGACCAAACCTTCATTAGAAGTGAAAGTTTACCCAGAGCTCCTGACTTCCCCTAGCCTGCCGTGAGCATAACAAATGAGGGGCCTACAAAGATGTATTATTCAGCAAACCCAGTGTGACGCCATTCTAAACTTATCACATGACTGGTCTCTTTTGTTTTTAACTGTAATTGTGTGGATACATAAACCAACCACCCACCGCTTAGTCTGTAGGACAATGACGCGCTACGGGAATCGAGTGTTTGTGCTTCCCTTTTTCAAATAATGAGACGCTCTTTTCACATCAAAATGTTATTTCTTATTCTTTATCATACTACTACATTATTAAAAGAGATGCAGTCAATTCAGTGATTGGCGGCTGTTGAACACCTCTAGAATTACCTCTATCAGTCGTTAAAACTCAACTCAGAGACTATTTCAATACCAGAATATACTTGAAGTGGTCTTTTAACAATATCTAGACAGTGGATACTATTTTACAGTGAGTGATCCAAGCCATCTCCATACAAGAAAGTCCTTTAATGGCTAAAAGTTGATATGGGCAGGTTATCAAAATATGTATTAGATTTTGAATGTTCTTTTGAATATTGAGTATGTTCCAATGATATTTCAGCCCTTCTGTTTGTAATTTTACAATTCTTTTATTTTTGTCTAATACTTAAACTTTAACAAACACATTTAAATGCATACTTTAACACATTTCAGTTGGTTTGACAAAATTTTATCTGAATATTGTTATACTCTGATATATTGATACAATATTGAGGTACTTATTATTGTCAATATCTCCCAGCTCTAGCTAAAGGCTCTGCTGCGTTTTTTTAAATTGCTTTAACTTGACTAAACTAGAGCACAGTCTGTCTTTCTTGTTAGACTTGTATATGGTTTTAGGAGTCTTGGAAAGCCGTCCGCCATTATATTATCCTTATGTATTGATTTACTTAAGGTGGAGGTACCGCCTGTTTGCCTTTGCCTTTTATAGTTCAAATTAATTGTTTTATGTTTTACAGATTAAACCTCCAGCCCTATGTCATGGCCGGGGGATCCACCAAACCACCAGGAACGTCCAATGGCTACCCTCTGAAAGCACAACTGCAAATCATTGGTAACTAAGCAACACCTTGTTATAACACCTAAATGTATTTGTCAGTGCATTAGTGTTGTCACAGTACTAAAAATTTCAAACTCAATTTCGATACAGAGAAATGGACTTGATGATAATAAAGACACTCTTTATTTAGAGATAAGAATGTCTTTTTCAGCATATACTTGTTCTGATCCAGCTCATTCTAAAGCTATTCAGGAAAGGCATTCCTGTCCTGTGAATGACGCTTTTTTAGTTTCGATACCTGCTCAAATGAGTATCTGGTTTCAATTCTACTTTTACTATTTATTAGTAAGAGATTTTTTATACTTTTGACTACTTTTTATCTCTACAGTACATATTTATTAGACATTTTCTTTGTTTTTATTTTTTCAGTGTTGTCAGCAAAACTAAAAGAAAATAAGAAGAACTGGTTTGGGCCCAGTCCATATGTGGAGGTGACAGTCGATGGACAATCTAAGAAGACTGAAAAATGTACCAACACTCACAGCCCCAAATGGAAGCACCCACTCACTGTGTAAGTTTAATACTACCAAAATTTACCAATAATGCTTTAGTCTTTATCACACTTCCCCAGATGCTCAATCTGATCTCAACTATTTTGTGGATTAGTCATTCATTTCCCATTCTTGTTTTTAGTTTCCTGTTTATACGTGCTACTTTGAGTACTTTTTGGTTGAAACTTTTGAATGACCTCTCACTGACACAATTCTCATAGTTTGGCAATGTAGAAGTGTTTTGCCCACAAACACAACAACAGTATCCACTAGACAGAGCTGAGAATGAACCCAAACTAACCCAGAATTTAGGGTTTGTGGGCAACAATAACCACTGTTGCCTAAGTGATGACGTATCCTTATTTTTCTGGTATCATTTAGTTCTTGTCAGCTTGCTGTGCTATTCTTCTGTGATTTTATCAAAAGCTTTATACTTTGATGGGATAGACTTTTCTGAGTTTCAACGGCATCACACTGAAAGTTGTTGAAAGTTATACTGCTGAAAATATTATTGCATTGAGCAGTTTTTAAGTGCAGAACCTGGCTTGGAATATAGTCTTAGTTCAATGGGAGATGTTCCTTTGGAAGAATCAATCTTGAACTTGAACTTGTGTCTCACGGTGATATCTTGCTTGATGACAGTAAAAACATATTTTATATTTCCTGAATCCTTGGACTCCAGAGAATTACTTAATATACCAGGTATGTCTGTCATTTTCACAGAGGCTTCAGGGTTATGGCTTTGCTTTTATTTGACTTTAATGGTTTTAGTGTTTTAGGACTGGCAAAGTTAAACTGAGCCTTTATACCCTCTGTCGTACACACTTTGTTGTTTTTATGTTGTCTTTATATGGATGAATGGATATTGAAACTGTTTTGTTTATAAAAAATGTGCTATTATAAATAAGGCATGTCCCACCTGAATTTAAATGAAAGACACAACAATTTTCTTAAAATTATTCCAAATACAATAGTTTAAATCATTATCTCATAGGCAGCACATGAGGTAAACCAAAACATGGACCTTTGTCTTAAGTGTATTTCGTGACGTGGGTTTGTACTTTCCAGGGGCTGATAACTGTGATACCGCTAAAACTCAGAAAAGTCTATCACATCAAAATATAAAGCATAGAAATTGACCTTTCCAAAAATCCCAGATAGTTCTTCCATTGTGACCTTGAGTGGTACTGATATGTCAAATTTGGCCCATGACAAATGGACTATTCTGCAAACCTGTCCAACTTTACTATTCCGTTTTACTGATTTTACCATGGAACTTGAGCTTCCTGCTCAATACACATGAAAAGGAATCTGACGCCGGTGTAGAAAGATAAGCATGCTTTTGTAATTGGGTTTCCTTTTACTTTTCCTTTGGCAGTGAAGAGTAGTCATACCGGATGTCTCACTGAGGAAACATGGTCAATCTTATGCTGCCTTTAAATGCATTGAATTAAAAACAGTTGCAATTATAGTTAAACTACAATCAGACATTTGTTTTACTGTGTTCAGTTATAGTCTTCCAAATGTACTGTTTATCTCGTATATTCACCCTACACACACTGACACTGCTATTACCTCAGAGCATCTTGGCTTTAACAAAGGCTCTGACAGCCTCTAAAATGATAGGCTTGTTCTCTGAAACCTATTATCAAACTTGGACACACTATAATTACAGTGTTTAGAAGAAGACCGCTACGATTTGGAAATGGGTAACAACTTCTTTGTTGCTCAAGTTAAGTGCTATGCAAACATACTATACACACACCAAAACTTTAAATCCCAAATGTTTTTTTGCTGTCCAATTAGCAGTGTAGTCTTGAAAATCTTTCATTTTAATTCTGCTCAAAAGTTTATAGGACAGAATAATAATATCACAAAAAACTTTTGGAGATATGCAAAATTAGAATATTGAGTTATCATATCTATTATTAAAAATGTTTTTTAAGCTGCTCATAAAGATGATAAAAATAATAATCTTCCAAACAAAGGTATAAATAGAGGTAATATCTGCACTTTTGTGGTTCATTTTATCGTTCGTTCTTGTTTTGTTTGCATTTTGTTGCCACATTTGAACACATTTCTGATTGATAGGTTGTAGTCTGTATATTGTTATTTTGTAAATAAAATAAAAATGGCATATTTATTGCTCACCTTTTTAGTATTTTCAGGATCAACTGCACTGACTTAAGGCAAATTCCTTGAGTGCGCTGAAAACCAAAATTTCTACTGTGCAGCTTTTTCTCCCACCTGCTGCATGTGTAATTCTAAACCTGTGTGCACACTGACCTTCTTAAAATAGCTATGATCTATAGTTCTACTGCACCCAGGGGACTCTCATCTCATTATATAAGCAGTGTTTACTATTGAAGGTAATAGGAGAGCACACATGCCTGCTGTGATCAAGATGCCAAGATTGTCCCTAAATAGCTTTTGGTCCAAATTTAGTTCATATTCACTGTTGGTCAACTCCTCCATCTGTTGCTTTTGGAAGTTTATTCATATGTAGCTCTATGTTTATGGATTGGTGACAGTCTCTAAATAATAGACTATGTTCATGTAAATGAACACTCTGGAATTTTAATCTAGTTTAAAAATTGACCTGGTGTATACTTAATATCTCTTTAAATGAATTGTAATAAAAAATAAATAAAATAAAAAGCTGGCACAAAATTCAAGTCTTCTCTGTCAGTATCCTTAAACAAAAGTGAAAGAAAGTGGTGCCATTGTTTAAGAAGTGATCATTGTTAAGGGCGAAAACTTTAAGTCATTAGATTAGATAAAGAACATTTGAGAATCTTTTTTGCAAAAACTGTGGCTCTCCCATAGAGTCATATAGGCCTCTGTCCTCAATCTGAAATTATAAAGTAATCAAAGTCTAAACTGTAAATATAAATATAAATAATGTACCTTTTGAATATATGTGATGTTCATTTTGGAAGTAGCAGTCATAGACTCTCTTTATAAATTAATTTTGCTCATTTGTTGGCCACCTTGTTCCAATAGTGAGCATGGAGGCACTTCTGGCACCATTGTCTTTGGCTCCAATTGATTTTACATTGAAAAGTTGTCACCCTTCTCTTTTCTGCTGCTGTGATCCTTGTCATTGTGGTCAATGTCTCTACATGATCCTGGTGTTTTTATTTAGCTATTTTGTCCATAAAAAATCATATTCTTAATATGCCACTCGGCTCCAGATTTGCTCCTGTAATTGCAAGCCTCATTTGCCTGGAGCCAAACACAATAGGTAGCACCATACTTCCTTAGTCCACTTCTTTATACTGTCTATGTTGCAATGAAAACAGAAAACTGATCAAGTGTATGTTTTGATGGACAGGATTGTGACCCCCTTCAGTAAATTGGTCTTCCGCGTATGGAGCCACCAGACCCTCAAGTCAGACGTGTTACTGGGCATGGCCACTCTGGACGTCAGCGACACCCTCAAGAAGAATGACATGAAGAGTGAGTGTAAACACAAAAGCTGGACTATTTTGCCGAAAAATAAAATTGTCAATTTTTTTTCAAAATATGTTTTCCCCCCTCCCCACTAAAAATGTTTTGCAATTTACAGAAAATAATCAAACCTGAAAAGATTGTATTCAGTGATCATATTTACCTCATTGGCCATTGTAGAAATATTTTATGAATGAGATACAATAAACAACTGCATTAAACATGCAGCTCCACCATTTAATTTGACGTTGCTGATTTCAAAGCAGTCAGTGCTGCATATAGCCCTGTGCAAAACTTTGCTCCCTGTGATTGAAGTGAGCATTTTTTTTTTTTTTTGCCCAGTTATGAGTCTATAAGACAGGAATAGCTCTAAATATGTCTCTAATGTCTCATCATGTTTCCTTGTGTGATTGCAGTCTCTGAGGTGGTGCAGACGTTACAGCTGTGCACAGACCGGGAGCAGACGGATGTGGTGGGAGACCTGTCCGTTTGTTTGGACGGAATGACTGTCGACCCAGAGATGTTCGCCAACGTAGAGGCGGCTCAACACAGTCAGTTTAACACTTGTATATGTCATTTAACAATTCTGTTGTACTCAGATTCTGCAAATTTGTGTAGAGGACAGAATGTTGCACAGATCATATTTCCATATTACCTTGTTCAAACAAGATCAAAAGGAGATGAACAGCATTTTTTAGGACTTTTTATATTTGTCGTAAGCACATTTGCTGTAGTGAGGATTATTTATTTTTATTTTTTTATTATATTGTACTGTGTGAACATTTCAGCTATAGATAATTATTGTAGTTGTTTATTTGTTAACATATCTGTTCCTTACATTGTAAAAAGTAGTGTTTCATTATTGTTTCAAATCGGTTGTATTTATTGTAACCCATATTTTGTTTAGACTTGGTCAAGGGTCCATTTATGAAAGGGCTCATCTTCATTTTTTTCTGTGACGATGGACTTTATTGACTTTACTTACTGATCTACAAGGGAAGTTACTTTAAAATTTAATTATTCAGGAATATGTGTTACTGTGACAGGCATATTCGTAAAATATAGGTATCCAGGGGCATATTATTTGAAGTATTTTGTTTCATTTGGGTTATTCTCATGATTTACATAAATGTAACTTCCAAAATGTTAAAACTTTCTCGACTTGTCACTAATAGCATATTTTAATAGGTACGACCAATGGGGAGTCATCAAATCAACCTAATGGAGATCATGTAATAAGGTAATTTCTTATTTTTCATCTTTATTTTGTTCAGTTGTGTTAAATTGTTTATCATAAGTTTCTTTCTCTCCTTCCTCTTCTAGACGTAGTCGGGACAACTCTCCAGCTGTAGATGGTTTGGAACACAGAGGTTCACCTGGAGGCAGGAGGCTGACCAACAACACAGGTTCTCCCTCTCCAAACACGAGACCACTGAGACCCCCCAGACCTTCTAGACCTCCTCCACCTACCCCCCGAAGGCCTAGTTCATCACCAGGTATGTTGAAACCTTTTAAGAATATAATTATAATTCAATCTGGAGAGACTCATAAGACACAAAGAGAAAGTATTAGTAGTTTTATTGCATCAGTTATCCTTGGCGCTCAGACCCAGGCAGAAGACATTATGATGAAGGGCGCAGCTGATTAGATGACGTATAGGAAATGTCTTCCCCCGGGGCCTGGACGCTGGAGGTGACAGAGGTGAGGCCGAGGAGACTGAAGGGGACAATGAGAGGATGAGAAGCCAAAGGGGTGCTGGAGAGGAAGTGAGGTGTGGCACAAAGCGAAGCAGCTGTGCACCTGCAATGGCGGGATTAAATTGTTCAGACTGGGCACTGTTTGGACGAGGAGCAGGTGTGGCGAACAGCGGGGAGGTGTATTTGGAGTGAGGTGATGAAGACTGAGGAGCAGGAGTGAACTTGGGTCTTCCAGGCTGAATTTACCCTAGTTTCATTTCACTGTTTGGTAGCCACATACCTAGAATCATGTTTTTATTATTTTCTTTGCAGCAATATCTTCTAACGGCCCTACATCTGCAGAGAACAGTAATGGTCAGTCTGGTTCTGATACTCCAGTTAGGACACCAGCCTCTGCCTCGTCCATAGCGTCAGAGGCCAGTCCGTCCCCGGGTCCAGAGAGAAGCTCCACTCCAGCCTCCTCTACCCCGGGATCTACTGCCACCAGACAGCCCACCAGCACCGGCACCACTTCCGTCAGTCCAAGAGCGCCGGCCATTAATACCGGACCTCTCCCGCCTGGGTAAATGTCTACTCAAGGGGCGGGGTTCAATAACGTAAATGGGCTTGGCTATTATGATCTCATGACCGAGTGAGAGGGCAAGTTTAACCATTCACGTAGGAGTAAAAACAGGAGTGGATTTGCGTTGTTCCTGCCTAAAACAGTTATTTCCTGTATATGGGATAAACAGAGTAGGCTATGTTATGTTCTCCAGAGGACTTAAAACTAATTTTCTTTATGAACAGCATCAGTTCAGATACTGCACTGTGACAGAGAACAGATGAAGGTTATATTTATTGACATTTATTAAGCAAATTGTATTCTGCTGTGAGTGAAATAAATATTTTTCATAACAAGTTCTTTTTTCTGTTTTAAGTTGGGAGCAGAGGGTGGATCAGAATGGCAGGGTTTACTTTGTCGATCATGTGGAGAAGAGAACAACGTGGGAACGCCCTGAACCGCTGCCCCCAGGGTAAAAAATCTTCCTTTTTTAGCTTCTGTTCTTAAAGCCTCTGTTAGAAGTGTCTGTTAGAAGTTTCTAATCTGTCAGGACTGGGTTTGTGCCTAATGACTACAGATTCATTAGTAATTCTCTGGTATCTTTTGTGCATAGCTGGGAGCGCAGACTGGACCCTATGGGCCGAGTGTACTTTGTGGACCATATATCCAGAACCACCACATGGCAGAGGCCCACTATGGAGACCATGCGCAACTATGAGCAGTGGCAACAGCAGCGCAGCCAGCTACAGGGAGCCATGCAGCAGTTCAACCAAAGGTTCATGCTTGGGGTAAGTCACTTCCTATTCTACACATGCACAGTTTGTGTTTAAGTAAAACTAAGTGTGTTCTCTGCTCCAGACACAAGATCCAGCTTCACAGGAGTTTGATCCTCTTGGTCCTCTGCCTTCTGGATGGGGTGAGTTCTCAGAATTGTTGTGTTTTTCCCAGTCTTTTCGTCTGTGTTTCAATGTGCTTCTGTACTTGTCACTCTTAACATACCGATTCAATATCATTTAGCATGTTGCCTTCATGTTAAAATCTTTTTGTTTGTGAAATGATTTTATGTCACACCTCCTTTTAAAATTACATTGCTTCATTTACCAAACCAGAAGTGCATCTTGAAGAGGTTGTTTGCAAAAGTTAATATAGGCATAGCAAAAACAAATCTTCCTATTTGATCTGATGTATGTGCTTCACATTTGTTTTCAGAAAAGAGAACAGACTCTAATGGCAGAGTGTATTTTGTTCATCATCCTACTCGCACCACACAATGGGAGGATCCTCGAACTCAGGGGTCAGTGGAGCATTCATTTACTTTTCCATCCACCCAGCCCCACACTAATTCTCACTTATTGATTTTTTTCTTTCTTTTTGTTAGGTTGTTGAATGAGAAGCCGCTTCCAGAGGGCTGGGAGATGAGATTTACTGTAGATGGGATCCCATACTTTGTGGACCACAACAGAAGAACAACCACCTACATTGATCCACGAACTGGAAAATCTTCACTGTATGTACTATTTCTGTATTATTTATTTTATTCAGCTGTTCATGTTTGTTTACACAAAGAAAGATCTGAATCTGAGTCACTGGGAGTTCCTTTTCCGTTACTAGACTGCATGACGCATATTCCATTATGACTAAGTGTTTGACTAGTCTCACCTATATTTATCATTCAGTCACAACACTTGGCATAATTGAAAACTACTATTAAGCACACACCTCAGCACACTGTTTAGAGTTAAGTAGCTACTGTTTCATTGTAACCAGTAGAAAGTATTGTGTTCCTTATGAGTAATCTGTTTAAGCGGAAAATTCATAGAATAATTTATTTAATGCTCCTTTCCTTTTATTATTAGTAGAAGTAGCAGTGTCAGAACAAGTAAATCTTTCAATATTAATATAAAGTATACATATATATGGACATATTTATATATTAAGTACAGCACATCCTTGAAAATGTGGAAGCAACATTATGGTCTTTCTATTCACACAATGTAAATTTATGTAAATCATATATCAACAGTGAAAATGGGCCTCAGATCACATATGTCAGAGACTTCAAAGCCAAAGTGCAGTGCTTCAGAGCCTGGTGCCAGGTATGTGTTGCTTTACATAATGATTATGAGGGTTAATTATTAATAAAGTTGGATAATATTATAAAAATTCTTTACTCCTGATTATCTTGTTTATCTTTTGTTTTATAGCAATTGTCAATGTCTCAACACATAAAGATCACTGTGACCAGGAAAACATTGTTTGAGGATTCCTTCCAGCAGGTAATCTAAAACACGTCATATTGTGTAAATTCTGTGTATAGTTGAAAATTAAAACAGTTTAATTCTCATTTAGATCATGAGCTTCAATGCTCAGGATCTGCGAAGGAGACTGTGGATCATCTTTCCTGGAGAAGAAGGCCTCGACTATGGCGGAGTGGCCAGGCAAGTATATTTTCAAATAAACATTTAAAGGTCCTATATTACACTAAACTGACTCTGTGAGCTTTAAGCCATGTTAGAATGCTTTTACCTTCTCAAAAACATACCTGGAGTTGTGTCTTGTTTCATTCTCATATGTTTGAGTAACCCCGTTTTATTAGTCTGACTACATCTGCAAAGCTCGAAATGCTCGCTTCCACCTTGTGATGTTGTTATGAAGCAGTAGTTTTTAAGTTAACAGCTCCTTTTACATTTAGTTCAGTAGAGATTGGCAACTCCAGGGTTGAAATCATCCAAATGATTCTAGTGAAGCTGCATGGAGATTAAAAATATAGTGGAGCACTTCCTGTATTACCTCATGACATCACAAGGTTGAGCACAGTGTTTTCTGTTTGAGAGAAGCCTGAATATGTAGGGTTTGTGTGTTAAACATGTGTGAATGAAACAAAAACACAACTCCAGGTATGTTTGTGATGAGGAAATATTATAACATGGATCAGAAAACAGTATAATTGGTCCTTTTTAAGCTTTTATACTAAAAAAAACATAATAAAACATGTTTTCTTCAGGGAGTGGTTCTTCCTCTTGTCCCATGAGGTGTTGAACCCCATGTACTGCCTGTTTGAATATGCCGGGAAAGAGAACTACTGTCTGCAGATCAACCCTGCCTCCTATATCAACCCTGACCACCTCAAGTACTTCAAATTCATCGGACGTTTCATTGCTATGGTGTGGGCTTGTTTTACCAATTTTACATAAAACAAAAAGCGACAATTTAATTAAACAATTTTGTGTTTGTTCTTAAGGCTCTTTTCCATGGAAAGTTCATTGACACTGGTTTCTCGCTGCCTTTTTACAAACGTATCCTGAACAAGCCTTTGACCCTCAAAGATCTGGAGTCGATAGATCCTGAATTCTACAACTCCTTAATATGGATCAAGTAAATGACCATTCCTATCTCTTCAAACTACAAAACACACCTACCCCCACTGACTCTTTTTCACAGAAAGACTATTATGTGTATTTTTTTGTTGAATTTTCATCAGAGACAACAACATTGAGGAGTGTGGCCTCGAGATGTTCTTCTCGGTTGATAAAGAGATTCTTGGAGAGATCACAACTCACGAGCTCAAACCTGGAGGTGGAGACATCCAGGTCACAGAGGAAAACAAAGAAGAATATGTCAGGTGTGTTGTTTTTCTTTCTTTTACATTTAAATTATTATTATTATACTATCCATCAGTGTTGGATGAAGTACTCAATTTTGTTACTTGTGTAAAAGTGCAAATACAGAGGCAAAAGAATACTCAAGTGAAAGTATCACATGGAAAAAAGTACCTGTTTAAAAATTTATAGTAAAAACATTTTGTGCATATTTTGAGATGTAATAAAGATTCAAATGTAGTGATTTTGATAAAGATTTGGGCTAAATTTTGCTGAATAGAAACTTAATTGATCATTTTTGTTTTTCTTTGTATATTTCTTTTTGCTCAAATTATAAGCTTGACAAAAAATAACCCAACCCCTTAGCCTTTTCAGCAGGTCTCAAAGAAATGAAAAATATGTTTACTTTTCAGTCCTGTTCAAAAATGTAGTGAAGCAGAAAGTACACATACCTGCTCTCAAATGTCGTGAAGTAAAAGTAAAAAGTAGTATTTAAAAATGTCTTGTCACAGATTGGTGGCGGAGTGGAGATTGTCCAGAGGGGTGGAGGAGCAGACCCAGGCATTTTTTGAAGGTTTCAATGAGGTCCTCCCTCAACAATACCTGCAGTATTTTGATGCCAAAGAGCTGGAGGTATGACTAAAGAAAGATGAGTTGTAGATGTTGTTCAAAAAAATGTTCAACAAATCTAATTCCACTTTGTAGGTAATGCTGTGTGGGATGCAGGAGATAGATCTAGGAGACTGGCAGAGGAACACAATATACAGACATTACGCCCGCAGCAGCAAGCAGATCGTCTGGTTCTGGCAGGTCAGACAGCAGTCACCTTTTTATTTAATTATAGAACTTTATGTGCTGGTTCTTGTGGTTTTACTATCAAGTTATCAATTATTCTTTGTTTGTTATTACTGAACATTTTGTCTGAAGTGTTAACTAAACCACTACACTGTTTTTTATGTGTAGTTTGTGAAAGAGATGGACAATGAGAAGAGAATGAGGCTGCTTCAGTTTGTAACTGGAACTTGTCGTCTGCCTGTGGGAGGATTCGCTGACCTCATGGGTAAACTCTGCTTTTATCAGAAACTGACTTCTGTTTTACTAATGCTGTTTATTGACTAATGACTTGTTGCTGTTTTCTAGGGAGTAACGGTCCTCAAAAATTCTGCATTGAAAAGGTTGGAAAAGAAAACTGGCTTCCCCGGAGTCACACATGGTTAGTTACTTCTGAATCTGTTTGATGTTAGTCTAGTAATGTTCGCCTTGTCTTCAATCCTGATAGATATGTAACTTTTCCCTTTGACACACAATATAAGGGGAAATGTATTTATCCTCACAAACAACTATTGCTACTAAATTGCTATTCAACAACCATCCTGGTTGTTGAATAGCAATCTTAGAAGTGACACTGGTCATGGTGACAATGTCAGTTATCTACAGTTGTTTTTTCAAGGCTTGTTTTGGATTTTGTTTATCTGTTTTGCACACTGCAGATAATTTACTTTATTTTTGAATTATGAACTGCAATATTAATCTAAAATGGTTTAATAAAAGAGACTGGTGAGTTGACTTACTTTTCCAAACTACATAATGCACTACAGTAAGCAGCAGATTTTCATTCAAAATATGACATTTTTTAACCTGGACTCAGATGCTATCATTCAAAAAAGTACAACATAGTTAATAGAGAAGGTAGGTAATTTTTTTGAGGACTCAATTTGAATCAGAATTAGATGAAAATCAGAATTATTTTATCATAATAATAAATCAAAACATAACCAATGTAGAAAAGCTCATTCCTATGCAGTCTTTGAAATCATATTGCACAGTTTTAACTCATATTTGCATTTAACTTCACCCTTTTCTCTTGTAGCTTCAACAGACTAGACCTGCCTCCATACAAGAGTTATGAACAGCTCAAAGAGAAACTGATGTTTGCCATTGAGGAGACAGAAGGTTTTGGACAAGAGTGAGCTGTGACCTGAATCGTCGCTGGTGTTGAAATCAGGGATCTTCTTGTATGAGTCCAGCTTCCTGTTGAACTGTGGTCTTCTTCTACACACTGTGCTTCAGCAGGGCCCCAGTGCCTGAATGGTACCAGAAAATATTTTTATTATTGAAACCAAAAACACAGAAGATTCTCCTGTCTCTCTGAATGAGCACCAAAATTTGCATGAGACCCAAACCTCACCCTCAAATCTCACTTGGATGATAATGCATAATAATAACTCTTCTGGCAGAATGCAGTTAAGCTTTATTAAAGAGGATTAGAGTTTTCTGTAAACTACAATTGTAAGCTTTATTTTCAGCAAATTATATGATTCAGTACAATTGATAGTATGAATGAGCACAAAAAAAGAAAACAGGCAAAAAAAAATAAATACATACAAATAACAGCAGGTTAGCAGTTATCTACTAACTAAAAGGATGGCTCAAATCCTGCTCTCCTTGTCCATAGGTTTTTGTTATGTGTGACATTTTTGAGGCCTTTACATGAAAAGAATCACCTTTTGTAATGTCTGCCCCTTTTACCCTGATGTTTAAAATATGACCCCAGCTGCTTTCAAATACATCCTCCTTAACATTGCTCCACTGTACTTCACTGACCTGTATCTCAAAACATAAATAACACTAATCAAATGGCTAGCCTTCAGATAATAACTAACAGTTCTTATAATTTTGGTGCTTGACATGAATGGGAGACTATAGCATAACCGGTGAATGGAGAAAGAGCCCTGTGTTCCTGGTTCGATAGTATTTAATCTGTGAATCACTTCTTGATTGTGAAAAGTGTTGTAAACTTCACTTATTTATAGACTTTAACTGACCCTAGTTTTATAGGGACAGAGTTGTGCGCCAATACTGAATTCTAGGATTGGGAATTGGGTTTGGAAGAGTAGTGTATTTTAATATTCATCTTACTCACCTTAAATAAGTGGTGTTGCTTGAAAACCAATAATGAAAAGACTATGAAAGAGCTGAAAAGCTATAAATGTTCACTCAAGGATCATGAAACAGAACAGGTTTTGTATTATAAATGAAAGAGTTGGTTAGTTTTGCCAAATAGAAAGTCGCAATGCCATCTCAAAGTAAATATGCAATAATACAAAATTTTATATGCCAAATTTTTATACATACCGTACATACAATCTCGGGTAATTATTTATACTCAACTTTGATTAAAATATTTTACAGTTAATTGTGAAAACTGAGCCTGACCGCTTTGTTTTGTTTCTGTTTGAAGAAATCTCTATGCATTCAGTAGGGCTGTAGGATTATGTAAAAAGTTAAGTAAATAATTAGCTAAATTATGTTAAAATAAAGTGCAAAAATGTTGTTTCGGGTTACATCTAGTGCCATTCCAGTCTATTTATAGATCATGCAGTAACCAGTGTTGTAATGAAAACATACTGATCTATGGTAAATTTGAGCAAAATCAGTATTCATCTGTAAGTGTTATTTAGTGTATTATGAGGCTAATGTGTTTTTATCTGTGGTCAGGATTTGTGACTTGTTTATTTTTCATGATCCTTGGGTGAAATGTAGTTTGTTGTGTTGATATGAAACTGCAGCAGTGTGGAAAACCTGGAGAAGAGAAGCTGTTTGTTGATGTGACATTAAAAACAACTGACTAAAGAAAACCTAATGAATGTACCACTGTAATAGACTAATGCCTACATCTTCACTTCTGTGTTGTATTGATCTTAAACTGGGTCGATCTTCAAATCCCAGGGAAGCCGTAGTTATTAAGCAATTGTGTACATAGGATTTTTGGATCTGTCCAAACCACTTTCACTCTCCTGTACATGAAACACTGTAAATGGTGTCAATAACAGATTTTCTTTTGTAAAAGAAAAGTTTTAATAAGAGGTTTACGATGACTATTTTTTCTTTTCCCTGTTCATTTTGGTTGTACATGACAGATGTGTGTAATATAAAATGTCACATTAATAAATGAAGTCAGTACTTCTGGATACTTGGATTATTGTCAGGGGTTTACTGTTTGCTCTTTGGTAGATTTTTATATTGATCATTTGCAGCTGTCATCAACATTCTCTGGGTGTGTGGTGCTAATTTAAAGCGCTGCTCTGTCTGGACAGGACTGAGCGCTTGTATTGATCACAGGCTCCTGAAAATGTGATGTTTATATCTTTTTTTTTTTTTTACATTTTCAGACTTTCAGACCTTTCTGGTATTGTTTGCATTGTGTCACCATGGTAACTGATGAACATTCCACCATAGAGATACATGTAGAAAGCATGATGTCGCTATAATAGTCACAAAGTATCAACACAAAACCAACCCCCTATATTTGATTATTTTGTGTCCCACTAGCATCATCTAGCCATGAAAGTGCAGACTGCAGTTCCAAAAATCTTGAATAAACTTTTATTTACATGTGCACATTGATAGCTTATATTGGATAATAAAAATTGTATTTTCAACATATACATTAAATAACACATTGGTACAAATACTTTTTAAACTATGGCCTACAAACATGGTTGCTGTAAACAGTTCTGCTCCAGGTTTTGGTTCCCCTGCTCCTCTCCATCTTCTCTTTGTTGTAGCTCCACAATGGACATAGCAGCTTGACAGTTTTCATCTCTCTCTGACCTCTCCCCATTCTCCTCCTGCGGTGCACTTATTTGCGGATCCTCTGAACCCTCCTCCACCTGATTGTTTGTAAACTGTTTTTCATCATTACTGTTGTCCTCCCCATTCTTCTCCTCCTCCGCCTCCCCTGCTTCGTCTTCAGTTCCTGGCCCACTCCCCAGAGCTGGACACTTATGGTCTCTGTAATAGCTCTGTCTGGTGAAGCCCTTATTGCAAGAGGAACACCTGAAGCGATAGTTGTCTGTGTGGGATTGTTGATGCTCCAACATGTGAGCTCTCCGACTGAAGGCCTTCTGACAGAAAATACACTTGTATGGCTTGATACCTGGAAAACATTTTAAATGGTTAAATTTCTCAAAGCTTTTTTATAGATCTCAAAGCGTTTTATATCAAGGGCCACTAACCGATTCACACACACACATTCATACTCCAGGGTACATAGACACTGGGATTGCGTAGGTTTAATTGTCTTGCCCAAGGACACAACAAACCGCAAACCTTCAGTGGACAAACACTCAACCAACTGAGCTACTGTAAATTATTAGTAAGTAATAAATATAAGCATGTATGGCATGGATGAATATGATTTTAAAAAGATCTTTCAGCCTGGATTACATTCTTGCTTGCTAGTTTTATATTTTAAAAAATGCTTTAAATTTGGTAAATGCTTCTTAAATATTGCACTCTCATACACTCAGCAAAATCAGTAGAAGCAGTGGGGAATCACTACGTAACGATCTTCAAATTAGAACTGTCATAACATTTGTTCTGAAATGGCCTGTGTAAATAAAATTATACAGTAACAATTGCATTTGATAGTTATGTCAAAGTCAATCCTTTAAACCATTAAATTACATATACTGTAGTTTAAAAGTTAGTCTGTCAGATCCACGTTTCATTCACATATATTCACATATACAGACCTAACCTGAATGAGACAGAATGTGTGCTTTCAGTTTGTCTGGTCTGTTGAACTCTTTAGTGCAGCCCACGTGTGTTCTGGAGGGATAAAGAATAAAACTAAACTCAAATTTTAACTGCAGGCAGTGACAAAGGGTCGATGTAAGCCACACATACCTAAAAGGACACTTGTACTTCTTGAAAGGTTCATGAATGAGCATATGTCTCTTGACTTTGTCCTTTCTGTTGAATGTGGCATCACATAAAGAACACTTGTATGGCTTCTCTCCTGGAAAGATGTTAATTATACATGGTTACAAAAGCAGTTTAATTTAACTTGTATTATAATAATGTTTTATTATCAACAAGTCTAGTCAGTTTCTGGCATTGTACTTGATTTTGCACTTTCAATCCCCATTGATGTTTTTCTTATGTTTTTATGGATACACTAAATAATCTGGACATTAGAAACTAAAATTTTAAATTTGATTTCAACTACTTCACTACCAGTGTGCCAGCTGCTGTAGTTATACTGCCCTCTGCTGGCTTAAGTTAAATACAATTTTCCCATTAAAAATAGCACATTATTTTAGGTCAGGGGTCTCCAGCCTTTTTTCCTTTACAAAATGAAAACACCAGAGGGCTCCTCAATTTAGTCGTCACAAGAAATTGTGCAGCTAGATGCCTATGAAAGATAAACCTTGTTTTATGCACAAAGTTAGGCATAAAAATTATACATTTACAAAGATAATTAATCAAAGCCATTTAGTTATTTAAACAAAGTAATCATTTAGTTATTTAGCACAATACGTATAATTCAGAAATCCCTTGACGCAGAGCTTCTGGTACCTCCTGAGCTACAGGTTGGAGACTCCTGTTTAAGTTGTACAACACAAAAAACCAAGTACTGGTTTAAACTGACAAAACCCCTCAGAAGTTTAATGAGTTTTTTTTTTTTTTACCTGAGTGAATTCTTGAGTGCAGTTTGAGGTAGTGCTCTGTCTTAAAGGCCTTTTTACAAATCTGACATTTGAATCTTCGTCCGATGCCGTGCGTGGGGAGGTGGCGCCTGAAGTACCTCTCACAGGGAAACACCTTGTGGACACACACAATGACTCCAGTGAAAAATTACCAAATAATCTACCAATTACAACTGCAAGCTTTTCACCATTATTTTTGCACTACCCTTTCTGTATCCAATTCATTGCTTTATGTAAACATCACAGATTTTATGTGTTTTTAATGTAATATGTAATATTTGTAATGTAATATGTATATTATTTAAACAGCCAATATTAGACTTTTTTCTGATTTATGCTATAATGTTTCCTCATCCAAAACATGCCTGGAGTTGTGTTTTATTTCATTCGCACATGTTTATCACACAAATCCTGCATATTTAGGCTGTGTTCTACTTTCAAACAGAAAACACTCTGTTCCACCTTATGATGCCATGTGGTAATACAGGAAGTGCTCCACTGTGTTTTTAAACTCCATACACCTTCACTGGCATCATTTGGATAATTTCAGCCCCATAATTGCCAATCTCTACTGAAGAAAAGGTAAAATGTAGCTGTTAACTTGAAAACTACTAAAGCATGACATCACAAGGTAAAACAGAGCATTTTGATCTTTGGAGATGATTACTAAAAATTCAAACACATGTCACCTTTCAATGAGCTCACAACATTGTAACATGGCTTAAAGCTTGTTTGTGTTTGTGTAATATAGGACCTTTAAAGGAAGCTTTTAGCCTCTTTCTGTGGGAACCCCCTTTGGCAGTGTAATCAAGCCTTCTGGGTGGGGTAGCCGATCTCGGCACCACCCCAACCATAAAGCTTAACTTTCATAATACATGCTTTGCTTCATTCATATACTGGCTTCAAAATACCTTTTGGCAGTGTGGACAGGGAAAGCTGTGTGACGCAGTGAGGAGATGTTGCTCTAGGGCCTCTTGTGTAGAATATCTGCTTTGGCACTTTAAACACCTGAAAAACATAATTGTAGTTAAATTAATTTAGCCATAAACCAATTCTGTAGCTGCAGGTTTCCCGTGCATCATCACCTGTAGACAGTGGCCTCTTTGTGTGTGCTCTGCTGGGGACAGAAGCAGTGTGAGTACTGGTGGACGCCCAGGTCAAACAGTGAGGGGAACACTTTGTTACAGAGGTGACAGCGATACGTCAGCTGCTCCTGATGTGTTCGGATGTGCTCTAGAAACTGGTCCAGTTTCTGGAAGGTCTGGGAGCAGGACTTTAACACACATTTATAAACCTATAAGAAAGAAAATGCATTAGAGATAAGGATAAAGCATTTAAAGGGCCAATATTACACTGATCTGTGTGCCAATATTTTCTGATCTGTGTTGTATTGTTGTTTCCTCATAAAAGCATACCCGGAGTTGTGTTTTCATTCACACGTGTAACACACAAATCCTGCATATTTAGGCTCAAAATTCTTATCTCAAACAGAAAACACTCTGTTCCACTTTGTGATGTCATATGGTAAAACAGGAAGTGCTCCGATGTGTTTTTAAACTCCATACACCTTCAACAAGAATCATGTGGATAATTTCAGCCCTAGAATTGGGTCTAGTACTCAACAAAAGGTAAAAGGAGGTGTTAACTTGAAAACTACTGCTTCATGACATCATAAGGTGAAACAGAGCATTTTGAGCTTTGGAGATGTAGACAGACTATTAATAAAGGATTACTCAAACGTGTGAATGAAACAAAACACAGCTCCAGGTATAGTTTTTGAGGATGTCACAGTATGGCTCAAAGCTCACAAGGGTCAAGACCTTTAACTGATAGCCTCCACTCACCTGTTCTCCTTTGTGCTGGGTCAGATGAGACTTAAGCTGAAAGTACGTTTTGAACTTGTTTGAGCAGAACTGACACTGGTAGGAGCTGTCTATCACCACCATCTGTTTGGACTGAGTTTGGTTCTGTTGGCTTTGGTTCTGGGCCTGTGATTGGTCGCTTTGAGCTGTGTCTTCTTGGCCTGCCGATGAATCAGCTTGCATCGTCGTCACACTTTCTATCAGCGTTCTGGCAGCTTCTGCAAACAGCCAATAGAACAATACATTTTGAAAAATCATTTAGACTTACATTGTTAGTAAATATTTAGCTAATGTAGAGTACTTTTATTCTGCTAATCTTTTATAATTTAACAATATTTCTTATTTCATGTTTCAAGCTTTCATGTTTTTGAGCTGTACTTCCAATCAGGAAATTAACATTACATCAGAGGTTATTGTTATTTTGTATATCAGATACTGCTTTAATACATCACATTAATAGGGATGCAACAATACACCTTTCTCATGATTTGATACACAGCCTCCCTAGTTACAAAGCCTAAAAGTTCTGTAAACAGATTTCAATAAAATACAATAACTTTAAATAACAAGAGTATAGAATGTTGCAAACTTTACCTGTCTGTGCCTCCTGTTCCTCGGCCTGTGATTGGACGTTTTGCTGTTGAGGCTCCTCCCCTTCCTGTTCTGTTTGCTGCTGTTGCTCATCATTGCTTCCTTCATCATGAGATAACATTGGCACCACTTTAACTGTGACTGGAGATCTAGAAACTGTGCTGGCTGCTCCCATTGGCCATACCTTTGGACACAGACAATGGATTTGGTCACTAAAAATATTGAAGTGAACGCTATAGACTTAACTAGACTCTTTCATACCTTGTGAGTCTGCATATGTTTCTTCACATTTGATTTCTGGGCGAATGCACGACCGCAGACGATACACTGAAATGGTTTCTCTCCAGTGTGACTGTGTACAATAAAAATGCAAAGGTACAATTCAAATCAAAATAATTATTAACCAATTCACTTTAGCTATAACCCACCTCCGTATGTGCTGCTGGAGATCAAAGTTTTTGGAAAAGATTTTGTCACAGAAATTACATTTAAGCTTTGGACCCTTTCCTTTTAAATGCTCTGCAATGAAGACAAGTCAAAAACACATTATTATTACTTATCTGTTCTTTTAAAAGGACAGTCCATTACATTTTGCACACAAACCTGTAGCCCCTTCTGTCCCTTTCTTGCTGCTTCTCGGACGTTTAGGAATAATTACTTTTTCAAACTCTCCCATTTCATTCATGTTGGTGGTGACGCTGCATGTTTTGGTTTTGGAGCCTTGTTTTCCAGGGCTGTAGACTGGAGGGGTGGTAAAGGACTGACTCCCTACACACTGACTAGGCACCTATGAGAAAAATGAAAAAAGTTAAACCCAGCAATAAAAAATTTACCAGGAAATTGTTATTATTTGCTATTACCTGTACAGGATGAAATGGCTGAAGTCCAAGAGTGTGTATCTCTGCACTGGCTCCTCCGGACATATGTGGTAATGCGCTGTATACTTGCACCACTGAGTTGCTATGGCTGGCTGGGACCTGAGAGGACAGATTCTGCTGGGATGGGGGCAGCTGGGGCTGCTGAGGCTGCTGGGAGGGCTGAGGCTGCTGCTGTTGCTGGGGTTGCTGAGGGTGGTGGTGGTGATGGTGATGATGATGGTGGTGGTGCTGAAGGTATGACACTCCAGCTGTGTGCATGCTCAGGTTACTCTGCAGGCAAATGAGAGGGGGCAAATTAGGTATTACTATTATTTAGGGGTGCATACTTGATTCCTGTTTAAGTACATAATAATAATGAATAATAATGATTAATAATGATAATGATAATACACTGTGGTCATTATTAATTAGCTCCATTCTCTGTTGTTGTTACTGTTATTATAAGTACAGCTGCCCAATCTGCACCATCAGACCCATCAACAAATGTTCAACATATATATTTTTGTGCTGAGTACACATGTTCACATGTGCACATTTTCACGACAACTCTAAAACATGCACAATAGGCAAAACTCCCAGATAGGCACTCCGCTCTAGGATACAAGTTCAAGATTTGGGGAACCACACACAGACATACATTGCTATTGACAGGTTGCCTCTGTGGGATTGGAGAAGGAGTCAAATGCCTCATACAATGCCCAATAAGGACAATTATGTATCTAAAGTATACATTTACCTGAGTAGTTATGAGAGTTTCATTTAAGACATGCACTGCACGCTGAAAGTGTTAAAAAATTTAGCACTCATTTTTTAAGCATCTGTGGTACAAACTCAACACTGATTTACATCAAAGCAATCACCATAACTTTTCTGTACATATACTTGCATAATATATGACCTTAGTTTCTTGTATTACCTGTACTGGTGCCTGCATGGTGGCCATAGGCTGCTCTATAGAGGTGAAGGCAGAGATGGCTGACATGAGAACATCATCACTGACCAGAACGTTCCCCTGGACCAGAGTGTGGGTCAGAGGAGAGGGGGGCACTGTGATGTACGTGGACACCTGTAAATGAGAAAATTGTTTTATTTTAATTGTTTTATTTTATTATTTTAACAATGCAGTTTGGCTTCTTATACTGCCAGCTTTACTATTTATTTGCTAAATCTATCAAACCTTCAACCATAATAAGATATAGACTATTACTATGAACACTGCTAGCCCTGTGCACGTGTTCTCTACCTGTAGTAATCATATGCAATACTGTAATATAATATAACAGTATAATATCTATATAATATGTCACTTTACTTACAATTTATACTGTCCATATACCCTATGTTTTTATTTTATTTGCACAGCATTGTAAATTAAATGTAAACCTCTTTTTTTATATTTTTAATCTTGATTTCTATATATTTCTATTTTCTTGCTTGAAATGTGGAATTTCCACATTATGGGACACATAAGGTTCTGCCCTCTTATCTTATACTAGATATACATTAAAATACATTTGTTGCACAGTCATTTCACAACAGCAGACCTGTCTGTTGGTAGAAGCCTGTGGTACAGAGTTTATGGATGGGACAGGGGTGTAGACGTTGGTTGAGGCCAGAGACACGGTGGACAGAGATGGGGCATTGGACTGGCACTGCTCCCTCTTGTGCGTCATAAAAGCAGGGAGCGAGTTGAACTGTTTTTTACACTTCCCACACAAGAACACATCCTCGTCATCTGTAATGAATATAGTATTTACATACAAATATGTAAAAACAAGTATACTGAAAAATTATTATTATTATTTTACCCACCCATAGACTGGATAGTGGAGCTTCCAGAGACATTTTGATTGTTGGGGTCTGGAACTCCACCTTGGCCATCGAGCAGTGACTGAACGGCCAGCACTGTCTGGTTATCCATGCCTGCAAATGAAGTAGGAATCAGACACTTTGCATGCATCTTTAGATTTTAATAAGTTTGCCAACAAATAAATAAAGATGATGAAAAGAGGAGATAAGGCGAGTGCTTCACTGGGACTCTGGTGAGTCGGATGGAGGGATGTAGTACACAGGTGTTCCCAAATAACAAAGACGTTGGTATCATAACATTAAATATTTAGGTTTACCATTCAAACATCACGCTCATTCATTTACGTTGTAAACAAAGCTATAGATGATAGCGGACTGCACTGCAGCCCCTTCATTCAAACAAACCCATGAACTATTATACACATTTCAGTGTGATTGCAATATAATATACCCTACGTTACTAACGCATAAACATGATAAACAACACAAGCTTTGTAGCTTAGAAGGCTCCACATGTGTGTTAAAAATACGCATATAACGCCACGTAAAGTGAGAAAACACACAAACTGTGATGTGTAAACAATCAGTGTGTTTACAATGATGCCTCTATCATCCTGTAAAAGCAAACGGAGGATCAAGTAAATGATGATTTACACGTAGAAATATGAACCTTTTTTTTTCTTCAATTCATGGTGGTTACAGAATAGTCAGATGTGCGTAATATGCTGTAATAAATGGATTATTCATACCTTCGAGTACCTCAAATATTGCCTGCGCCATCTTGAAGCTGTCCTTTTGAGGGATAGGCGCTCGATTAGCACAGCCTGTCCATAGAGGGCACGGGAGAGATGAGTGTTTTGCTAAGATGTCGTGCAAAAATTGTTTATGATCATGATTTAGCCAGTGTATTCAATTAAATCGTCATTGTAAATTATCATCAAATAATGACAAATAATAATATCTAAACACAAATTTTAAAAAAAACACATTAAATTCAAATGATTACGATTATATTAATGCATCGTTCACATTATACCTTATTTTATCTATGACTAATTCTTCATTGCTTTTCAGCACACAACCCTATCCTAGAATGACACTGTAGTTGTTTTATACATTATGATATTCTTCAAATTCTTCAAATGCAATTCCTTTATGTTTTTCTATGCGGGCATATTTTGTTACGACATCCTCAGGGCCACGAACGCACCGTGTGATCGATGTTTCTGCGCTCCTGACAGTTGACAGACAGCCGCGAAGACGAATGACGCCGCACCGGTCCCGCCCTACGGAAGGCACGTCCCGTCAGCCAATGAGAACGCTCTAATCAGATCATGTGTCAGTTTCGCGGCAAAAAAGATTTCGCGCGAAAACTGCCCGACCCTTGTTTCGATGTAGATCAGCTGGGACAATAACAACAATAACAGCGGGGTCGCGACGGGGCTTTTGTGCGTGGACGTGGCACAGGGAGATGCACACTGTGGGGCCACGGTTGAACTTTTAAAAGGATTCCTGGTTTTTATTTCCCCGGATTGCTTTGCTTGTTTATCCAGTTCCAGCTTCCTGCGTGCCCCAACAAAACGAGGGGGTAGAAGAACTGCGGCTAGCGCTAACATGCTAATCAGATCCAGACTTTTACAGACGGAGATGAAGACTTCTGTGTAATATTCACTCGGACGCCTGTGCTTTTGGGGGCTTGTGCTCTAAAACACCCACCGTTTGCATCGTTTTGTTATTTTTGTTTGTTAGCCTACTCTTGTAAAGCAGTTTTAAAGTTGTACTAGCTCTTACAGTAATCCGTGCTTCTCGTTAAACTCTTCTGTTGCAGGTTAAACTCATAAATATCTGTTTTGACAGCGCGATCGATAACTTATATCACTCATATTTTGACGCCACGCTAGCGTATTAGCATTGCTGTAGTTTTGTCTGTGACAGTGTGGCCAGGCCTCGATGTGCACTGTACTGACAGGACACATGAAAACAAAAGATTAGCCTGTTCTCCTGCTAGCCCGCTAATCTAAAGCTTTTTTTTTGCCGTATAGCTTTGTAAACGAGGTTCAGTTTGTCCATACTTTCAGAATAGAGTTGCAAGTTAATACGCTGCTGTGCATTTAGCTGCGTTATTATGTTAGTCATATTTCGTGCTTATACTACATTCCGTCTTTTTGCTCTTCAGCGTCATTGAATTAGTTTGAGTCAAGTTTATGTTTTAAGTAGTTGTACTATTAATATGTATTTGTACATATGCAATGCCCACCTTATTCATTAGAAATAAGTAGTTGTATTGAAATGTTAAGCGTGTATCATTTGTAAACCAGAAATTATAGACTTAAAACCTTGCAACATCAATGAGAGTTCTGCAAATGCATTCAGCGTTGTACCCCCCAATTTTGTAAGCCCCAGAGCCTGCACTGCATTGTCCAGGAGAACAGGTTTTGCCATGTCAGAGACTCTGATAACTGGACACACATCGGAGGACCTGTTGGCAGACTTTGAGACTTTGCTGAACTCTGGGACCATAGAGCTGGGAGAGGACCACCAGATTGTGATCATCACCAGCCCAGGCCATGAGGGACTACACCCAACTGCTGCCCCGACCAGCACAGGCGAAATCCTGCTGTTCGCCACGCCACAAGGACCCCCTAATGGTGCCATTCAGGACAAGAGACGACCCACTCTGGGAAGGCCACCGGTGAGGGCAGAATCAAAGGGAAAGAGAAACTGTGTTGAAGAGTCAAAGATCAACTGCACTGACTTTTGATTTCAGTCTCAGAGTTTTAACTGTAATAAACATGTGTTCAAGGGTCATAGAAATTAGTATAATCTGAAAATACCATTTTAACACATTTCTGTGTTGTAATAGTTTAATTACAAAGTTATACAATTGCAAAATGAACTGCTTACTTATCGATACACAGATTTTCTTTCTTTCTTTTAGTGTCTGTTGTTTATCATAACTTTGTTATTATTTACAGGTGAAGAGAAAGTTGGATCTTGACAGTGATCATCAGTATGTGAGCACCACCAGACCCTCCACGGCTCCCCCCTCCACTCCCGCCCCTCCCCGAGGTTTGTGCTGCACTTTTAGGACACCTCCCTGACCTACTGACCTCTGAGCAGCTGTCACTGCTTTCCCAGCAGTTGTTCTTTCATAAACGCACACAACAGCCTTTCACACTGGTATTGTCTTCACCTGGGCGCCAAACTCGGTTATGTCAAAGATCAGGGTTGAAACTTGTTGGGGTTGGACTTTTTTGCTGTCTATTGTTAAAATGCAGAAGGGAAATTCTATTTGATCACCCCTATTCTTGTGTTATTACATTATAGTAAGAACTGGTATCTGCTATGATTTCTTAGCCTAAAAACAACAAAGTGTGATGAATTTAGGTATACACCACTTTCTGATTAGATGCTAAATATATTCATGTAAATATTCCATAGTTTGTTGACAAATGCTATTCGTTTTAGTTTGGTTTTTTTAATCGAAAATGAAAGAAGCATAAATAAACACGTTTTATTAAGTTTTAATTGATATGAAAACAACATACATTATGTAGTATTATATTGAATCTTGAGACAACAAGATTTTTAATGACCCCAGAAAAATTTGAATAAATTAATGTATTTTAATGTATAATACAGTGGGTTCATTTGTTACAAGTTGTTTTGCAAGCTTTGTGTTGTCATCCTCAACAACTTCATTTGACTAAAAACTGCCAGATAGTCAGTATTAAGCACAACAGGTGGTTAGTTCCTTTACACTGCTCTTCATGTCTTTGTTTATTCTTTCAGTTCCTCGAATCATCTCAGAGAAGTCTCGTTATGATACATCTTTAAACCTGACCACCAAGCGCTTCCTGGACCTCCTGTCCCAGTCTGCTGATGGAGTAGTGGACCTCAATTGGGCCTCACAGGTGCTGGACGTCCAAAAGAGGAGAATATACGACATCACCAATGTCCTGGAGGGAATTCAACTCATCTCCAAGAAGTCTAAGAACCATATCCAGTGGCTGTGCGTATCTGACCCTGAGATGTTCATTGTTTTTTTTCTGGTTTTATAAGTTGACATCTTCACTCTTGGGTATATTTATTCAACAGTGGGAATCGTATTGATGGAGAGGCTGTGTCCCGTCAGAAAGCTTTACAAAGAGAAGTTTGTGACCTGACAGACACAGAGGAGAGGTTGGATGAGTTGATAACTAAATGCAACCTACAGCTGAGACTGCTCACTGAAGAGCCACAAAATAAGAAATATCCTTTTTCCAAGTGACAGCCCCAGGAGGCAACTTCTGAAACAAGTTATGTGTTCAATTCATATTCAGAAATGGCCTTTCTGAGAAGTTTTGTTTTACATTATTTGTACTAATTGTACAAATTATTATCAGACTGTATTTAAGTGCAAATGGGGCCTACATTTTTTAACACTTACCCCCTCGGAATCACAGCTTGAAACAGAGTACAATACAGAAACATATAAGCAACAAAACTCAGTTGCTTCATTTTCTCTTGCTATCATGTCTCTGTCATATTTTGCCCTGTGTGTTTTATGTGTTTGATCTTAATGTTGCGTACATTGGGATATGTGCGGTGCCAGGACTTGAAGAAGTCTTTTGACTCTCCAGATCAGCTGGTCATGGTCATCCGAGCTCCTCCAGAGACACAGATGCAGGTTTCTGAGCCCAGCGAGGTACTGCCATGGTCAGAGCTGTTTCATTCACATACAGTGATATGATTCTAACATAACTATGTGTCTCAGGGTTATCAGGTGTCTCTGAAAAGCACACAAGGACCCATTGATGTCTTCCTCTGCCCTGAAGACAGTTCTGGAGTCTGCAGTCCAGTTACAGGAAGCAGTCCTCTCAAACCCAATGGAGATGTGTCTCTCACCTCTCAACCCACTGACCAATTACAGTCCAAGATATCAGCAGCAGCTTTGGAAGTGGGTCTGTCTTCTCCAACCTCCACCTGCTCCACGGCAACAGCAGCGTCCCAGCAGGACCCCTGCAGTCTGTTAGGGGGAGACACAGGTCAGTGGCCTTTAACATACCAGTTGAGATACTAATGAAACCAATGCAAGTTAATTCAAGACTTTCTCATAGTTACTTGAGATCAGGCACATGTTTGATGCAGTTACAGATATTAAATCTCTTGTTTGCTCTGACAGAGTCCCTGCTTGGAGGAGACCCCTTTCCTGGACTGGGCGACATGGCGGACTTTGACTTTTCTCCTTTGTCTTCTTCGGACTTCCTCAATGGAGATGGACTTCCTCTCCCATTGGACAGTTTCATTAACCTGTCTCCTCCTCACAATCATGGCTACCACTTTAGCCTGGAGGACCATGAAGGCATCAGTGAACTGTTTGACTGTGAGTTTGGGGACCTCTCCCAGGTTTTAGGGGACACCTGAAGGAGGCACTCACTGAGAGAATTCATGAGTAAATGGATGTTTGGCTGTACAGAGCATTTTATTAATTTCCTGAATTGTACAGCAGTTGACTAGCACTTCTTGGCTGTGTAAACATTTTAGACAATGTTCTTAGCTTTAGCCTAGCTATTTAAATTATTTATGTGAGTATATAATTTTGATATTTTGTACCAAGTCAGGTTTGTTTTTTTGCTAATGTTTAATGGGTAGTGCAGGTGTTTCAGGGCATGGAGGGCTGGTTTTCCTCTTCAGTTACATTTCATCACATCATGTTCAGGGTGACGTTCTGAAGAATAAAAGAAAGTCCTGGTGGGTAAGATGTATGCCCCTTCTAAACGCAGGTGTGCAGTAGATATTTCAAACTGAAAGACATTTGTATCCAGATATAACATTCTAAACAGTAGTATGTTCATGAAGTAGAGTAACTTTTAAATGTATTTTAAGAGATGGCATTGTAGTAAGAGCTCAAGCAGTGACTCTTTTATAAACTTAAGGTTAAAGTTGCCATATACCTAGTAGCAAACAACAACTGACTTCTTGGAATTAAATTATTATTTAGTTGTTTTCAATAAATTAGGTATAAATTGTTGAATGTTAATAGTGTGAGGAAACCAGGAATTGCAACAGGTATGTTAGCAGATAAGGTTTCAGTGTGTTTAGACTCATTTAGTTCTAGTTTCAGGTGTTTGGAGGTGACAGAAATGTTTTAATGCAAAGGTGTGTGACTGTGAGTGGTAAATCTTCTATTGTCTTAAATACAAATGCATGTTCTCTTATACTATATAGTGAGTGGGATTGCAAGTGGTGTCTCTTGGCATGGATTGACTTTGTAAAACTTGGACCATTCGTTTGCTTGTTTATTGCCTTGGAAAATCAAACTACAACATTATTTTAGGATGGAACCTAAATGCAATAATATTTTAAAATCACGGGAAATTCACTGATGTCTGCCTTTACTAATTCTCGCTGGTAACAAAATGCTTACTTCATTGTCCTTCATTTATTAATCTACTACATTTTTAAATACAATGTGCTTTTCATATCAGTGTGTGGTTCCAAGAATAACTCCTGGAAGTGACCGTTTTGTTTTGCTCCAAGCCGAATATCCTGCTTTTGTTATCAGCATCTCCAAGTTTAAATTTAGTTCATACCTTGAATCAATGACCCTATCTTCATCTTACATCTCAAATATTCAGTATATGCTCCAAACTCCTTTTATGTCCAATTGCACCAACGTGTCTCTTACGTCATGTACTCAATGGTTGAAGATGAGAAACTTATTTTTGAATTAGAAATGCCTTGTTTTTAAGTTATGTAAGCTAACATGTTTGATTTTTATTGAAGTTAAAATATTTTGTTTGTTATGTTTTGTGTGTTCAATTTATATATTTATTTAAATGGGGTTTGTTAGAGAAATGGTACAAGATTTATCATTGTTTTGACCTTTTCACGGGGCTGTAATTGATTTGTGTTTTACTATAACCATTTTGAACATTTGGTTTAGTATTTTGTAAACGAGGTTCTGTAAGAATTCGGCTGTTCATGGCTCACATACTCATGTAATTAAGGCTTCAATTGTTGTGTTATTGGGTCCCACCACAAACACTATCAAACCCTTCGAATAGCAGTCTCTCAGTCTCATTTTACAAAATACTGCACTCTTTTTTTCAACTTTCAATACATGAACAACTTGATTCAATACAGTTTGCTGTCTACAGATATATATTATTTGTAATAATCATAATTTAAGTTCTGGACTGCATTTAGATGGGGGCTTCTTGAGTATAACTGTCATTTTTGAATGTGCTGAAACAGATGCAACATGTTTTCACAATATTCTTTGACACATTTGCACCGGTTGGTCTCAAATCACTGTTTTTGTCAAAAACTATTTTGCTAAATTGATTGTCCATAGCCATTTTATTTGAGAGAAAATATTAATGTAAGATGTGATTGATACCAACCCTGATTCTGCCATGCATTTAAGGGACGCTGTTTTAATCATAGGTTTTACAGTAACTTGCCCTATTTTTGCTATAAATCTTATTTTTGTTGTTACATATTGGGTAAACTATTTTGTACTTTCAATTATTAATTGAGAAAACTATGCCCTTTTGTATCAGTTGTGGACAAAAATAAAAAAATATAAATTTCTTACATTTGTTTTAACAGTTTGGACTATTGATTTGGACTAATTAGTACAATGAGTCTGGGACTACATGCGATATATATAACATTAAAATTTATGTGTGAACTAATGCGATTAATCAAAGAAAATTATGCATAAATCATGAAATAATGGAAACTAATGACATGATCTGTTTTGACCGGTGAGTGACACAGAGGCTGGACTGAATATGATATATCATTTCTGGAGTTGTCAGATTATTCAAATGTCACGTGAACAGTTACATCTGATGATTGTTTCAAATCTACTTCATGTTACAAAGTAAATTAATATTGCTGCATTTTCATGTGTAGCGATACAGAGCTGTAAAAGGTAATAGTATATTATATGGTATATAGTTTCAGACCTTTTTCTGCTCACACATTTACCATTAAGACTTAATGAACACATCATCTACTAAACTGAGGGAGTGGTGAAGAGTTATGTAATACCAGTCAAAATCAATATAATCACTTTGCTGTGAAACATTCAGAATTTGATTGGCAGAACTGAACTCTGAAATATATAACAAACATACAGTATATATTGGTTTGGACTAACACCCTTTTAATGTTGTATGGTATAATCTTGTGTTTTGTTTTGGTTTTTTTTGTTGTTGTTTTTTTTGTTTTTTTGTTTTTGTTTTCACCCCTTGTTTTCCAGCTAATCAAACACAAAATAGATTGACTGGTAAAACCAAGTTCATCCAATAATCCAGAATGGTCATTCAATCGTGCGCCACTACAGCCTCTAGTGGTGAAAGAGTGCATTGCGCTGCCTGTTGTAAAGGCTTATAACATGGGCTTCTCACCTGCAGGAAAAGTATGTTTATTTATGGATAACATTTCATACAATCCAGTAAATTGAAGAAGAAAACAAAAACATTTACATAAGAACCACACATATAGAATAAATAAAGAGAGATATAAAAATAATAATATTTTAGTGTCCTATAAACTGCATAGTTATAAAGTTATCCATGGTTAGACAGTGAGAATAGTAACGCACTTGTTATGAGAAAAAAAAAGTCACAATCACTACAACTGAGATGATAACAGACACATACATATATTCTAGCTGTTTTCAAATCCTTTTTTTTTTTTTTTTTTTTTTGATATTGTAACATAATAATTTTTTAATACTATAATAATGATCACTTATTATGTTTTTGTGTGTATGTTTTATTCCATCTTATTTTATCCTAAAGAATGAATGGCTTCATCACTTGTTTGCTTTGTTAATGGAGCTCGGTAAAATGAACAATAGCTCAGAGATAACCCCCCCATGACCTGCTGTTTCTATGTGCAGTCTGGTAAAATATTATTCAAGTGACATTTGGATTTAAAGGTGCTGTATTGTGCAAAAGTGACTCTAGTTAGGTTTTAGCCATGTTCTAGTGTTGTTACCTCATCAAAAACATACCTGGAGCTGTGTTTTGTTTCATGCACACATGTTTAAGTAAGTTTATTATCAGTTTGTCTACATCTAATAAGCTCAAAATGCTCTGTTAGGTTAGGTAAAGTTAGGTTGCTTTAGTCGTACCCGTAGGTAAATTTGTTTTGCAGATATGAGCATTTCACATTTCACATTTCATACATTCACATTATGTCCAATAAACACATATAAGAACACAATTACAAAATAAAATGTTACAATGCTTCAGTGCAGAATGGTTTGTTCCATAAACAATTAGTTAAATTAATTCATCACGCTTGGCTAAAAACACAATAAATATTAAATTAATATAAATATTAAATATATATACTGTTCCACCTTGCGATGTCATGAAGCAGAAGTTTTCAAGTCAATCGCTCCTTTCACCTTTCCAGGGCTGAAATGATCCAAAGAAGAAGAACTCAGCCTAAATATGCAGGATTTGTGTGTGTGTGAACGTGTGAATGAATCAAAACACAACTCCAGGTTTGTTTGTGATGAGGAAACATTATAACATAGATCAGAAAATAGGTTAATATGGGCTCTTTAACAAATGAAATGAATACCTACAAATCTCAGTTAATAACAAAATACTGTCCTGTTGGTTTGTCTTGAGGTTTTTATAGAATCCACAGGTTGCTGTAGAGGTGATATTATCATGGGGAGGCGTGGCTGCAGTGCTCATTCCTCTTGTCAAACCTCGGTCTCACTCACAATATGGAGCAGGCGGTGCGCGGCAGGGGTGAGTTTACATTGTTGTACTTTTCTATAGTACTGTCAGCACTGTACTGTCTTTACATAGCTCTGTTGTAGTCTCAGTTTGTCTTTCTTTTTTAATCTGCATGCAGCTATATCTTTGTGTGATAAGTTATGAATTGGCAATGAATAATTATGTTGATATTGTTACCTCTTAAAATCACATCCCTTACATTGCTTTTACTGTGTACAATTTAAATTGCCCATATTACGCTATTTTTTGATTTTCATGTAATGATGTTTCCTCATCACAAACATTTCTGGAGTTGTGTTTTGTTTCATTGACACATGTTTAACACATAAACCAAGGATGATTAGGCACATCTCTTCTATCAAATAGAAACCCTCCACCCACCTTCATTAGAATCGTTAGAATAATTAGAATAATTTCAGCTCCAGAATTGCCAGTCTCTACTGAACTAAAGGTAAAAGGTAGCAGTTAACTTGAAAACTACCACTTTTGAGATTAAGTATTGCTCAAACATGTGTGAATGAAACAAAACACAACTCCAGGTATGTTTTTGAAGAGTTAACAACCTTATAACTTGACTTACAGCTCACAGAGTCAGCTTTGCATAATAAAATACCATTTAAAGTTTGAACTGAATCAGTCAGATAGTAACATTTGGGGGCTATTATCGCTAATCATTTTATGTTGTATTGATTTTTGTTTGTTTGTATTTCTTCATGTATATAGCCTTATATTAATCAATGTTTAGAAAGTACAACAGATATTGCTTATGTTTGTAATGGTTATATAATCCAATGTACTGTATTTGCAAGCAGTCTCAATAGTCCATTTCTTTACTTTATGAACACATACTTACATTACTAGACTGGGGGAGTGGTGAAGAGTTATGTAATGACAGTAAAAATCAATACACTTTACAGTAAAATGTTGGAAAAGAGGCTGCAAGAACTTATGCCAGATATTTTATTTTATATGGAGAAATTTCAGTTCAACAATTGTATTAATATAAATACATTTAGAAGTGCTGTATAGAGTAATTAAAATATATTTAGAGTGTATTTACATATGCATTATTAAGAAATTTTGAAGCGCAATATATTGCTGAAGAAATTATAGATGATAAACTGTAATACTGAAACTAATTTATGCCACTGACACAATAACGCAAGAGTAAATTTATACCACAAAAACTATTCTAAATCTACAATATTGTTAAAAACAAAAACAGAAACAAACAAACAAACAAAACAAAACAAAACAAAAAACCTGCAGAATTAAACACTTCAGTAGTTGTACAGCTTAACTCTTATCATGTAGTCAAAACAAACAAAAAAAGTACATACGATTAATATTGTTCTACCTTTCATATATTGAACGATAAGTTGATATAGTAATTATTGTGACAGGTATACTTGTGTTGATCATGATACTTGTTTTGATCCTGAATCTGTTTCTCTAGGCCTGATCCCTGACAACTGCCAGCTGAAGTTTGTGAACTTTGAAATCCAAGAGAACCACATTACCCATGAGACTGTGGGGCTCAGCTCTCATCAGCTGGTGGTGAGGAGGGGACGGGCCTTCCAGGTGACTCTTATATTCCAACAGCCAATCGACTGGTCTATGTACAACTTTGACCTGGAGGTGCAGCTGGGTATGTCTGCTGTGACTGTACAGTAAACTTCTTTACCATAAACCATACAACTGTGAAAATACAGTCAGCCTATTTTACTGCTCATGACAGGTTTACAAGTTCATGTGGCTTCAGACAACAAAGTGAGACAAGTTTTACATTGTATTCAGTATTAACAAATATTATATATAGTTTATTTAGCTGTGTTTTGTTTCATATGTTTAACACAAAAATCCTGCACTTTTAAAATGAGTTCTTCTGTCAAACTGAAAACACTCCAGCTTGTTCCACCTTGTGATGTCATGGTGGAATACAGGAAGTTCTGCACTTTCACTAGAATCATTTGGATCAGTTCAACCCTGGAATAAACAGAAGGTAAAAGGAGCTGCTAACTTGAAAACAACTACTTCGTGACATCACAGGGTGAAACAGAACATTTTGAGCTTTAGAGAAGTAGACAGCATAATAATAAAGGGTTACTCAAATATGCATTATTGAAACAAAAGACAGTGTTAAGAGTTAATTTTGCGTAATATAGGACATTTAATATATGTAATGACTGACAAAAAATCTGTCAGACAAAATGCGTTTTGAAAGAGATTTTGCATTTTGCATTTTGTACAAACCTGTTGCTTGTAATCTGAAAGCTACACTTCTCTTTTGTTACACAGAATATTTACTGATGCTTTGTTGTAGGTGATCTAACAGAGAGGTTCCCCATCCACTTCTCCTCTCAGTGCCTCAGCTCTCTGCACTGGTCTGCTCGAGTCTTCCCTGAAAACGTGCGCTCTCATTCTGTGAGCGTGCACGTGTGTTCCCCCGTGCTCTCGGCTGTGGCCTCGTATCACCTGCTGCTGCACATACAGAGACAGTATCACATATTCAACTATGAACTGGGGACATTTGTGCTGCTCTGTAACCCCTGGTGTAAAGGTAAATGGGCTCAATAAAAAATAGGTGAAATATAAAATGAAATCTGTACATTTAAAGGTGCACTCTGTAATGTTTCTAGTGAGGGTCCATTACCTCCTCGTGTCCATGGAGATGTTGCTTTGTCTGCAATGCTCCAGAGTATGGCATTGAACGTTTGACTCCATGGAGACAAAAAAGTGACACCACCAGGCTAAGTTACACATCAGATCTGTGGAACTGGTGGCACCTTTAAATATCATAGTTTTGTGATATATTATATTTATGCTAGTCTTATCAGTCTAGAATATTCAGTTTGAGTTGAACATTTCCAATTGACGGTTCCAACTGACCATTTCGGAAAGCACAGAATGAGTGTCTCTAGATATCATGCAATGGCCAAAATACTTTTTTCATTAATTTTAGTCCCATGTGCAAACACTTGATACTAATGTTGTGTTCCAGATGACCCGGTGTCCATGCCTCTGGAGGTGCAGTTGCAGGAGTACATCCAGAGTGACTATGGGCTGGTGTATGTGGGCACAGACCAGAGTGTGAGGCACAAGCCCTGGGCCTTTGGACAGGTCTGTGAACAGGAGGACAGCTTAAATACACACATTATTACTGAACATGGTGTACTTAAAGGTCCTGTATGCAAAATTGCGTCTTGTGAGCTTTAAACCATGTTATAATATTGTTACCTCTTCAAAAACATACCTGGAATTATGTTTAGTTTCATTCACACATGCTTGAATAATTGTTTATTAATAGTCTGTCTACATCTCCAAAGCTCACAATGCTCTGTTCTACCTTGTGATGTCACGAAGAGGTAGTTTTCAATTCCAGAGCTGAAATCATCGAAGTGATTGTAGTGAAGGTGTGTGGAGTTTAAAACACAGAGGAGTATGTTTTCATTTTGAGAGAAGAACACAGCCTAAACAGATAGATAGATAATACTTTTCAGGCAGCAACATTACTTAATAATAACAACATTAGCAATTCAATTTATAGAGATGTGGTGCAGGGGGTGCTGGGGGAGATCGACAGTGGACAGGAGCTTGTTTAGGAAATATGCAGGGTTTGTAAATGAAACAAAACACAACTTTACAAATGTCTGTGATGAGGAAACGACATTATCTCATAGATCAGAATATACCGCAATATGGACGCTTTAAAGTGAAATTTCTGCAGATTTTAAAGCAAAATTGCACTGATGCCAAATTTATTCTGACTGAAATCTTGCAGTATGAGCCTGGAGTTCTAGAGGCCTGTCTTCAGCTCCTCCAGGTGAGTCCACAGCACCAGAACGACAGGCAGAACGACTATCTCCGGCGGGCTGATCCTGTCTACCTCTGCAGGGTGCTTTGTGCTATGGTGAGCTTCCATACAAAACAGAACTTATGGGTGACTAAATGGTATTGAGGTACTAAATGACAAATGATCTTTTGCAGGTGAACTGTAATGATGACCTGGGAGTTCTAGCAGGGAAGTGGCAGGGCAATTACACAGATGGAGTGTGTCCTACTGACTGGACCGGCAGTGCTGAGATCCTGCTCCAGTGGTTGTCATCTAACTGCAGCCCAGTGCGATATGGGCAGTGTTGGGTGTTTGCTTGTGTCCTCTGCACAGGTAGTCCACAATAAAAATATAGAGATTAGATTTCACTGACCTTTTAATGAATTATGATGATATAATTATGGGTTTGCTTGATCTTGCAGTGCTGAGGGTGCTTGGAATCCCCTCTAGAGTTGTGACTGTTTTTAATGCAGCCCATGATGTGAACGCAAACTTAATAATTGAAGAGTATTACTCCAGTAAAGGGGAGAAGTTCAATATATCAAAGGATAGCGTCTGGTGAGGCTGACTCTGCATTTTGATTCTGTTAGAACAATCGTAAATATTAAAAAGAAAGTGCATGTTTAATAAAAATAAGTGACTATAACCATAGACTGTATATATAAATGGACATAACTAACCCAATAGCCACCACGTTCCAGGCAGGAAGTGAGCATGGGCATGCTTCCGGCGCCATCAACTCTGTTTCCATTCGATTTTGTATTGAAAAAACATCACCTCTCTCTCTCTGTAACTTATTAACCTGCTCTACATGATCCTGGTGTTTTATTTTTCTCTTTTGTTTGTAAATCAATTCCTATTCCTAATATGGAATCTTCCAAACTATTAAATAATGCTCTTGACATAAAACATAATTGGTTGAGTGGTCAGATCCACTGACCCAGAGGTAGGCTTCTGATGATCATGATGAGGATCCACAGATGAGTGCTGTCATTGTGCCCTTGAATTTGAATTTAATTTGAATTTATTTTGTTTGGAGGATAAGCCTCTTAAGCCTCTTGAGATGTTTCACCATCTCGTTTTCAAAGGCGTCCTCAGAATCACAACTTGAGCAAGACACTTAACCCACCTTCCCCCTAGTGTCTGTGTACACTAGTGTATGAAAGTGTGTCTGTGAATGTGTGAGTGGTTCCTTGTTGTAAAGCAGTTTGAGTGCCTTGAAGGTGGCGCTATATAAAAATGTGACCATTTAGCTTCATACAGTCTGTGGCTATAAGTAGTATAATAGTTAATTGGGATGATTAGATGGTTGGTGAGATGTGCCCAAAGAGTCTTAAAATATATATACAAAAAGAACGTAAGATGTGAATAGATTTTACTTGTTCCTGTTGCTTGCTCCTGTACTGTGAATTGTCTTCCCCATAGGAACTTCCATGTGTGGGTAGAGTGCTGGATGAGGAGAGAGGACCTGGGTGCAGACTTTAATGGTTGGCAGGTAGTGGACCCCACCCCTCAGGAGAAGAGTGCAGGTGAATAATACTGTGTAATGTGCCTATGTGCTGCTAGAATTTGAGTGTTATTTGAGATTTAACTCATTTGGTATCAAAGTACCAGAATTCATTTATTAATGTGGTTTAACTGCTAACTGTAGGCACTGCTCTGTCTGTGGTTTTGTTAGACTTTAATTTGGGCTTTAAGTTAGCACAATGTGACCATAAAGAATTGATTTATCTGGAACTACAAGTGGTCCGATTTGTGCTTTTAAACAAGTCTTTCACACATAAAATTACAGATTAGCCAACAGTTTTTCACCTTTTTGTTGAAAATCAAACTCTGAAACAGGACCATAAATGCTCTTATTGATCACAAGCTCCTGAAAAATGTTCTGTCTTGAGTTCTCAGAAAAAAAAAAACACTGTCAAAAAAGAAAAAAATATGTGTGCATTGTGTCACTATGATAACTCCTTAACATTCCACCATTCGAGATACATGTAGAGCACCCCCAGCATAATGTTACTGCAAAGTATCAAATTACTGGACCTAACTAAATGAAACCAAATGATGTAATTGCTTGGATCTCCAGGAATCTACTGCTGCGGCCCGTGCCCAGTCTCAGCGGTCCAGAGACGATGCCTTCACTGTCCTTTCGACGCCTCGTTCATCCTGGCCTCGGTGGACGCAGACGTGGTTCGACTGATTATTCGGGATGGCCTGGTGGTAGGGAGGAGCGTGGACACGGAGTGGGTAGGACAGCTGATCTACACCAAGAGCATTGGATCGAACAAACCAGAGAACCTCACACACATGTATAAGACTAGGACAAGTGAGTGAAATATGTTTTTTTTTTTTTTTTTTACAATTACACTGGAAGAATTTGACATATTGATCTTTCTAATCTAGGTGTAGTTATATATACTGCTACTTTATCATTTCTGTAAAATCACCTTCATACATTTTTTTTTTTTTTTTTGCAGAAACACCTTCTCCACGAACATATTCTTCATCTGGAGTATTTGGAAGGATATCAGGTAATAATCAGTAATTTTGTGATAATAATAGTAAATAAATAAAAACTAGATAAAAGCTGCACACCTCATGGCCCATAGCGTGTTAAGTGCTGAACCATTATATTACACTGCAAACAGAGCAAAACAATATACTGTAACTCTGTAATCTTTATTTTACCTTAATCTATAATCAAATGACTTCGAAGAAAAAAAATAAAAATTCTCACCAAGCCATCAAAATGAACATATTTCCCCATTCTTTAAACTGCCCAGTGACATTGACTGATGACTCTGGGGTTTTCAGGTTTAAAAATGTTGAAGCTTGTCATTTTGTAGGTCAGATGTTAATGGTTAATGGTTCCTCGAAGTAAAGCGCTTTGACTACCCATAAAGGAGCAGAAGAACAAAAATCTGCTTATGCCATGGTCTTGAAAACTGAAAATAGTTCACTTTAAATCTGACTACCTTTTAGCTGTCCATGGATGTTCAAGGCCAGTTATTTCTGTTTTAGTTGAAGCTAGTCTCTGTAGCTCATTTGTTTATCCACTGCTGTGGTGATGCTTACATTGTATGAACAGCGATTAATAGGACTACATGTACAGTTATACCACTGTATAGCCACCATGCTCCAAATAGGAAATGTGCATGGGCGTGTTTCCAGCTCCATTGACTCTTTGTATTGAAAAAAGTCACCCCTCTATCCATATCTGCTGCTGTCAGGCTGCTCATTTTGATCTTAAAATGTTCGTATTAACCCCCTCTACATGATTTTTATTTTGCTATTTTGTCCATAAAACTAGTTCTATTCCTGATATGGAACTCGGCTCCAAATTTGCCCCATAACTGCTAGCTTCATTTGACTGGAGCCAAACGCTATGGGTGATCACTAGCTAGACTGGCTCCACCTACTGCCTCCGCTCAGTTTCATTTCTCTCCAGCAACTAGATCAGGAATCGGAATATACTAGACAGTTCGCAAAAACCCCAGAGTGCGAGTCCAGGCACCAGCCAATCAGTGAAGAGCCATACATTCAGTGTTGACAACGATTCCCGAGATCAAGGATTTAAAGCCGGAATAAAGAGAATGTTTGGTGAATTTTATCAAGGGGGAAAGACGTTATTGCCCTTTTTCCTACAGGATTTGGGAAAAGCTTAATATACCAGTTAGCCCCGTTAGTGGCGCATTACATACGTCATGACCAAATAGCAGCGATTGGTTAAATTTAAAAAAAGTATCCGCCTAACATCGAGCAAACGAATTCTAACGCTGCAAGGTCAGATGGTTTCAACGAAGTGAAACCAGCTGATGAATCAGGCTAGGTGATCACACTCCCACTTTTTTATACAGTCTGTGGGTTATACAAAATCCAGGGCAGGTAGCATTGGTATTCTCACTAAACATGGTAAAAGCCTCTGTACTCTGTGCATGTAGTTCCTCCATCAGGCATTGTTTCCGGACTCAAAGTATCTCTGGAAGTGGAGAAGACGCCATCTATGGGCGACTCCATTTGCCTCTGCGTCACCATTTCCAATCACTCCAGACACGCCCGTTTCCTCACGGAGCGCCTCAACGCCCAGCTCAAACACTACAACTCCTGCCCTCACGAGAGCATCTGGAAGGACCACCGTCAACTGGAGATACAGCCAGGGCAAGGTCAGACATGGTTGAGGTTGAACACATGAGTTATACAGATTTTGACTTTGGATTATTTGTGTTTTCAGTTCTAACCCTCCACCACAGCATCCCCGCCTCTCTGTCCACGTCCCTAATGGCCCATGATGACATTGTGAATGCAGCAGTGGTGATAAAGGACATGAACACCAAAGAGAGAGTACTGGCTGCTCAAGAGTTCAACATCTGTTCACATGACATCAGTATAGAGGTAAGATTGACCTTATGGAATACACTACATACCAAAGACTGGAGAATTAGATTTAAAATGGGGATTAACTACTAACACATAACATATTAACATCACCATGTTACCGTTTATTGTTTTGGAAATGCTATATTTACCAAAAAGAGCTTATTAACACCTTTTTCAGAAAACATTACATCATGGAGGATAGCTAAAAAAATAAAAATAAAAATTGCATCATAATCATAGCAAGCAGAGATTGCATGTTCAATTCTTCACTAAGGCACAATGTGGGTTTACATTTATTTGCACAGCTCTGTGGTGAGTTAGTTTAGGAGTACCTTGCTTGGAGTACATAATTATATAGTGAAAACCACCTATCCACAGAATGTACAAACATGTATTTTGCTGGAGACGTTTACTCTCATCTATATGCAAAACAGTGTCTTCTTGACGGTATATAATAATAATAATAATAATAATAATAATAATAATAATAATAATAATAATAATAATAATAATAATATAGTGTGTGCTTGACAGGTTGAAGGAGGGGACAGGATTCAGATGAAGACAAACTATATGGCACATGTCTCCTATACAAATCACTGCAGTACTGTAATAAGTGGTGCCGTCTTGTGCTTGGAGGGCTTTGGACTGTTGCAGAGCAAGCATGAGACCAGGTGAGACCCATCCCACTAGCACCACCAAAAGTTACATACCAGAGATATCTGCTCATCTTTACAAGAACTTGCTGTAAAAGAGAGGGGGGGACTCAAAAGAATGTGGTCTAGGAATGCTGTTCGCTTTGTGTGTATTGTACAACAAAGATGATGAAAGAAACAGGTACTAAAGAAAGCATGTAATTATATACAATTGTGTTTATATTTAAAGGTTCTATATTATGCAAACTGACTTTTGTGAGCTTTAAGCCATATTATAATGTTGTTACCTCAACAAAAACATACCCGGAGTTGTTTTGTTTCATTCACACATGTTTGACACTTTATTATTATTAGGCTACTTCTCCAAAGCTCAAAATGCTCTGCTCCACATTGTAAATTCATGATTTTCCAAATGATTCTAGTGAAGGTGTATAGAGTTTAACTTCAGGTATGTTTATGATGAGGAAACAACATTATTATATTGACAAGAAAATAGCATAATATACTGGGCACCTCCCTTGGAACGAGGCCCCAGGGAAGACCCAGCACATGCTGGAAGGACTATGTCTGTCAGCTGGCCCGGGAACGCCGGAGGAGCTGGAAGAAATGTCCAGAGAGAAGAAAGTCTGGGAGTCCCTGCTTAGACTGCTGCCCCTGCAACCTGGCCCTGGATAAGCGGAGGAAAATGGCTGGATGAATGGGCCCATTAAAAAATATGTATTTTTATGATTACATCACATTCAGGTGAACAAATAGCTTTACAAAACATTCAGTTCAATTTTCAACATTCAATCATTCAGATTTCTAATCCTCTATGTAAACACAGTTTAGATATAGTGAGGGACAGCTCAATAAACTACTGAAGACTTCATACATCATCCCAGACAAGGCTGTAAAAGTGTTTTTGCATTGAAGTCCTAAAATGTTGCTTTTCAAAATTTTTTAAAAGCTAGAGCCCAACAGGAATGCAGTTTTTCTTCTAAAGTTCACATATATAACTCAGATTTTCTCTGTGTTATTTATAGTCATTTTTGCCTCATTTTTTCTTTTCATTCTTCACATTGTTGTGCTCTCAGAAATAACATTTATGTAGCACCTGTCAAAAGTTTGGACATGCCTCCCCATTCACTGCTTTTTTATGTTTAGTTCTCTCTACATTTTATAAACATACAGAAGACTTTAAATGTATGAAGCAAGATTTATCCACGTGGAATTATGTAAAGAGAAAAAGTTAAATTAGGCAACCAAATACTTTTATATTTTAAAGGAGACACCCTTTGCTTTGCTGACAGCACTACTAACTCTTGGTCTACTCTCAGCCTGAGCTTCATGATGAAGTCTGAAATGGTTTTCACTTCTCTGCCAAGTTTATATGAAAATGCATTGTGTTGAATTATTAATACATTGTTTATTTAACTATGTTTTAAAAAATGTTGTGAAAGATTTTGCAGCATCATTACTTGAGAAACTCCAATGTTTTATTTTAGTACCTGCTGTATTCTGTATTATTGTCAAAATTTTTGATCAGTTCATATCATTCAGTCTCAGACATCTTTCAACAAAACTTAAAGACTTCTTCCATTTTGGAATGTTTGTTCTCTTGTTATTTCTGCCCCAGGTTACATTATACTTACCAAATATTCAACTACCCCCCTCTTCTCCTCTTAATGGAGGAATACAGTTGGCAGATTGTGACTGTACAGAGAGTCAGAATCTGAACTATTATGACTCAGTTGTGATTCCCTGATCTTTGTCTTGCAGGCAGGCACTGTTGCAGCCTGGGGAGTCCATCCAGACCAGTGTGTCCATCATGGCATCCTCTCCAGGAACCAAACTGCTGCAGGGGACCTTCTCTCACAGTCACAGCCCTGGAGTAGTGTCCCGAAGCTTCCACAAAATCTCCGTTCACAACTAATGACGCTGCATGAATCATATATTTTTATCTTTCTTAGGCCTGTCACGATAACAAATTCTTAAGCACGATATATTGCTACAGAGATATTGAGATAAACGATAATACTTAAACTACTTCATGCCACTGAAACAAAGCAGGATAATCTCAGTAAATCATTTTAAATAGATAGTACCGTTAAAAGGCTTGAGCTGCAACAGACAAATGACAGAATTAATCAATAATTTGCCCTAAAAATACATCTCAGATCTTGCATTATTACATAAAAATGTCTAAAATCTTCCCACTTTTACAAAGAAAAAGTCCCAAAGATAAATATTGAGCCCTAAAATATATTGTTCCAGCTTTCACATTATTGAATGGCACTGTAATTATCATGACAGGCCTGATCTTTCTGTAAAATATACTAAAGGTGCACTATGTAACTTTTCACCTGCTGATCTCCATGGAGATGTCATTGCTTTGCATTGAATGTTCCGCAGTATGGCATGAAACATCTGTCTATGTGGAAACAAGCAGGTGATGCCAACAGGCCAAGTTACGGGTCAGATCTTTGGAGAGGCAACCCTGCAAACATTATGAATACATCTTTTTCAAAGGTTTACAATAAAAACACCTGACTGAATAATTCAATAGTGACACATTTTATAGTATGTACCATAAATAAACAACTCTTTGAAACAAGAAGGTGGCAGGCCATATCAAAAAGGTTACACAGTGCCCCTTTAAGCTCTTCTTTGCTCCCATTTTTTCAAGCATTTTTTTTGTATTTATTTGTTCATTACTTTTCTCCAGTAACTTTAAAATGAGTGTTGTCAGATTTAGTTATTAGATAGAAGTGAAGTTAGAAGTGATGATAATGACAAATGACAGTGGACCTTATTCTGCTGCACCCACTTTTGTCTCTAAATGCTCCAACCTGATTCCACCATTTCTGGTTAAGCAGGAATCCCCTTAATTTCAATTGAGAATTTGGTTTTGCTGCTAAATATGACATAAAGCAGGTGAATTTGTGTGAAATATTCAGTCTTTATGTGACTAATAAGTTCCACTGCACTGATTCTCTGAAGGGACTTTAAAACAGCTTTGTAGTCTGTATAGATCTTAATTGCTGTCAAGATCAGCACCAGATGCACAATAAAACAGCCAAAATGATGATGGTGAATAGCTTGATTTCTCTGATATTGCACATTCCAACTCTTGCATAGATACTGCAAGCAAAGAACTTTGTCATATCTGTAAAGTAAGGACACCAGAGGGCAGCATCAACCTGACAGAAGCACAGAACAGCACATACATGGAGAATGTAACCTTCTGTCAAAGCTATGCATTGTTGTACTGTTCATTTATTGTTAAAAGTGAGTTAGTTGTTAAAAATAGCAATAATAATAACATCTGCATGGAATCAAAATTATTTGAACCAAATCTTAGTACTGGAACTATCCTATAAACCTAAGATATGCTCTGTTTATATAATATATTTGTTACTATAGAGTTAAGTTAAGCTATTAAAGTTCCCATTTTGCTTTATCGTTCATCCACAGAGTCCACTATTACTACTATGCCTTAAAGAGGGTTATTGCCTTAACAGTGTTTCCACATTCACTCTTACAGATAACTGAAAGCATTTATTCATATTAGCAATAAAGGGAACATAATTTCAAACCTTAAGGTCAGAAACATGAACATTTAGTCCCCTTTAGCCCTTTCTACCAGAGGTGTGGAAGTCGTGAATTAGACTTGAGTCACTATTTTTAGGACTTGAGACTTGACTTGATAAATTAGACTTAAGACTTGGGACTCAACTTGGACTTGAAGCTCAGTGACTTGGGACTTGACTTGGACCTGAGGTCAAAGACTTGAGACTTACTTGAGACTTGCAAAACAAAGACTTGGTCCCACGTCTGCTTCCTAACACTGTGATATTGCAACATGACACAGAAACAACTGTCTGAGATATTGTCATTAGGTTGTTTTCATCTAGTATTTTCTTTCTTGTCACTCTAAAAAATGCACCATGACAGAGAATCAAGACTCTGGAATAGTGTCAGGGTTGTTTCCTCATGCAAGAAGGTGACCCTGTAAGCAGCTTCTGTATGAGAAAATGTATGTTAACCTATTTTTAATCTATGTTATAATGTTTCCTCATTAAAAAACATACTGTGAGTTGTGTTTTGTTTCATTCACACATGTTTAACACACAAACTCTGCATTTTTAGGCTGATTATTTCTCTCAAACTGGACAAAATGTCAAAGGTAGCTGTTGGAACAAGGTGGAACAGAACATTTTGAGCTTTGGAGATGTAGACAGACTAACAATGCAGGATTACTCAAACGTGTGTGAATGAAACAAAACATAACTCCAGGTCTGTTTTTGAGGAGGTAGCATCATTATAACATGACTAAAAGCTCACAAGTGTCCATTTTGCATAATATGGGAGCTTTAAATAATGACCAATCTCTAATCTAAACCATATTTACACTATTCCTGACTTGAGCTCCTGTTGTCTAACCCTGCCCGTGTGAGAAGTGCACAGCTGTGATCTGGGCCTGGTGTCAGACTCAGGCCCATAATCAGATCCACGCTCACTGCTCCTCAGACAAATTAAACGTCAGGAGGAAGCAGTGAGCGCACCCAAACGCTGAGCCCATCATAAATTATTAATGTCTCCCCGTCACGGCTGCCCTGGCACCATCTAGCGCTCCACTCCTCCTCCGTCCATCCCTCCATCCCAGCTCCTCCAACTGGAACCACAGCCCACACATCTGAACATTACCTTTTTACGGCCTGTCACAGCGCAATCATTCTTCCTCTATAGTTTTAATTACACACTGTCGTCTTGCATCTTAATCACGTTTTGAATTAAAGCGCTTCGTCTTCCATTCTTTTCTTATAAATCTGAGACACCTTAGTCACATAAAAACATATACTTAAGAAAAAGTACTGAGGCACCTGTATAAAATGTGTATGGATTTTTTAGTAAATATATTTCAAGCAGCTTCAAATGTATTGATTTTTGTCAAAGATTTGTGCTGAATTTGGTTCAATAAATGTTAAATTTTGTAAAAAAAATGTGTAGTGGAATAGAAAGTAAAGATACCTGCTCTCAGATGTTGTGAAGTAAAGTACAGACACCTACAATTTTTACTTCAGTACAGTACTTTACTATTTTTAATTAATGTTCCACCACTGGTTGTGATTAGGGCTTTACTACCAATTCATCCTCCTATTTTTTAAATGTATAGATTGGCATTTTATCACCTTATAGCATTTGTAGTTTTAAACAACATATTATGAAAACAAATGGAACAATAATGTAAAAGAAGTAAGAATTCGGAGCAGTTTATCAGATGTCAGTACAGGGACCATGGAGTCTAAACAACCGAAGAGAATTTGAATACTGATGTTTACAGTGAAGACCTCATCTACCAACACAGACGCACTTTCTGAATGATTTTCCTATGATTTCACTTAGTAGAACATGTTTAGCATTATGGGACATTTAATGCTTTTAATGATAAATATACTTTGTTATGAGTCATGTTTAAGACATGTTGTGTTCCTTGCTGTGACTTAATTTCACTAAAATTCACTGAAAATTCTTTAAAACAGTGCTATGCAACTTTTCTGGTCTGGATAGTCTATCTGCTCATTTCCTAGCAGGTACACACTATTATGTTCAAAGCATCTATACTGAATTTCTTTTTCAGATACAGTGATACTCATTGCTTAAAAATACATTGAAAATCATTCATTCAGGAGGGTTTGCAGATCTCACCTTGGCCTGGTGTCAATGTCAAGGCACCTATTCTGTATGCTTAAAGCAAACCTACTATGCAAATTTCGACTTTTCATAGATTTTCATAATGTTGTAGTTGTTTTCCTTATTCATTTATCCTCTTGAAGTTGTATTTGGAGTGATTCGTGCATCTTTGATCAATCTTTAATTGATTATTTTCAAGACACCATATTGCCCACCAGTGCTTTTCACTGCCACTGGTATACACCCAGTGCTCTCTACTCACTTTATTTTCTTAATCTGTAATTTGCATAGGATTGGGCAGCTCGCTATCATAAAGTGCTAGCCTGATTAATTTGAATTTTTCACTTCGTGGAAAGAGTTTGACCTCACAGCTTTCGATTTCGTTTGCTCCACGGTAGGCGGGTAATTTTTTTCATTCAATTCTATTTGGTTGGTTGGTAATGCGCCGCTAACGGGGCTAACTGGTATATTTAGCTTTTCCCACATCCCGTAGGAAGAAGGACAATAACATCTTTCCCTTTGATAAAATTCACCAAACATTCTCTTTGTTCTGGCTTTAAATCCTTGATCTCAGGCATCGTTGCCAACACAGAAAGTATAGCTCTTCGTTGATTGGCTGGTGCCCGAACTCACACTTCTGGTGTTTTTGCGAAACATCTAGTGTATTCCGATTCTTGACCTAGTCGCTGGAGAAAAATGAAATTGAGCGGAGGCAGTAGGTGGTGCCAGCCTGGCTAATGAAGTGCAGCTATCCATCAGATGTGTCTACAGAAGCACAGTTTTTGTTTCTCTTATTAGTTCATTTTAGATGAATTTTGCAATTTAAAATGTCCATATTCTAACATAGTGATCCACAGGTATCATAGGTTATAACTATATAGTAGACACAAGCACAATATATCTCCTTTAATGGCATACTGTGGAACATTTCTGGCAATCCAGTATCACCAGGAAGACGAGCCAATGGTGTGCCCTCCACCAAAAACGCTTCTTCACCTTTGAGCACCATCCAACATACACAGACTCAAGGCTCCTCTGATCTCACAGTGAATCTCCAATAGTTTCTCTTTGCTGTGACTGAGAAAACATGAGTGAACGTGCTGCTACGGGAGCTGTGCGGCCATATTGACAGATGACCATGTGACAGACCAGAGCAGACTGAACAGCTGCTAAGCCCTGAAGTGTGTGTCCATTCTCTGTCTGTGTGGGCCAACGCAGACAGCTTCATAATGATGGACC